TCACAGCACATATTATATAAGGTAAGAGTACTTTTATTACACTACACTTTTATTATTTTATTATAATGTGATTTAGTTGTTTCAGTGGAAAATATTTGTGTCGATAGTTACCAAGGCAGAAAAAATCTCCCATGCTATACTTACCATAAACCTCAGGATTGAAGGTTCACGTTTTATACCTGGAGTATAAGACAGCCTATTTTGGGGGAGATTTTTTACATTTAAAATTTTAGTTTGTATACTGACATATATATAGTAATAATAATAATTAATGTTAGACCAAGAACAAAAATCGATTAATTCCTTAAAAATATACACTTTAGTTGGTGGTCGTAAGTTCAATAAAGAAAACAGAAGTAGCAACACAGGACAATAATTAACTAATAATCAAAGATAGTATTGGCAGTGAAATGTCATTGAATAAAGAGTTTCGTTTGAAATTCCAATAACTTGACTGAACATGACAAGCACCTGAAGAAGGCTGAAGAGCACAATGACCAAAATTTTGTTACTATAGCAACCAAGATGAAGTCATCAGTTTAAATAAATTTATACATAATAATGCAAAAATATTTTCTGGGACAATTAACTCTGAATTTGCAAGCAGCATATACTCATAATAATTGCAGGTCTTTTTAATAATAATTGTAGGCATTTTTATCTTAAAAACAATAATAAACACAGTATACAGAGTGTGATGGATAAATTGTTGTTTAAATTACATATAAATGAAAATAACACTGACACCTCATTTTAACAGATATATTTACCAAAATTACACAAAAATATCTTGAAATACTAAAGAGTAAATTTATTCAATAAAATCGTCATTGGCTTCAATCATGGACTCCAGACAACTTTGGAATCTCCTGAAACTCCTCTGGACAGTCTCCTTGTTTAAGTTGTTGTATGCTGTCATAATTCTTACCTTCAGTTCATCTTTCGTATTACAAGGTGTTTTGTTGGTCTCTCACTCAACTGCACCCCATATATAATAATCAAGGGGGTTGCAGTCTGGGGAGTTAGGTAGATGTAAGGGGTGACGTGGTTGTAGAAATTGTCTGACAGCCATGACTGTGTTCTCTTGTTTGTATGGCATGGTGCAGAGACCTGTTGCCAGACATAGTGTCTTCCAGCACCCACCCTGTTGCACTACCTCCTCAATGCACTTGATGTAGGCCTCTGTGTTGAGTCTGAGGCCCTCACCAACAAATTCAGGAGTTCTTTTCTTATCAGAATAATCAAAGTGAGTTTTTTGAGCTGCCATATACTTTGTAATCACTATTAGACTCATCCAACTCTTTCTGAATCCTCTGCACTGTCCTCAGATTGATACCCAAACACTCAATATTGGAGTTTCTGGTGCAACTGCTAAACAGTACAGCATACCATTTCCAAATTTTTGGTGGAGTGAATGACATCATAGTGCTCTTTTTCTCACAAACGGTGCCCAACGGACCCTACTACACTGTGCAGTCGACAAAAACAAATGTGCATGCAAAAAATTACAAATATATAATGGCGACAATTTACTCATTGCACCCTGTATATTTTACTATATTCAGTATTTTAATTTTCTATTATGAGGTGTATGGCTGAATGGTTAGAACATTCGCTTTGTAACCATGGAACACAGGGTTAAATCATCATTGTCAATTTGTCAAGAAGGTGACTTCTTGATGTTATTGATCTGGAAGGTCATCTCAGTGTGTGACCCCTTTGGAAATTGCCTGCAAATTAAACCATGGGTTGATTCAAGCTTTGTAAGTGAAACTAGGTCAACAGAACTGTTTTGGGCCATTGATAGTCATGCTAGCATGAAGTTACAAGTCATCATGACTGAGGGTTTGAGTGTACTGGCCTTGTTCAAACTATTGATTACGCTCTCTCTCCCAGAAACTGTAACTAAGGCCTAATCAGAATAGATGCAGTATAAACCACATTTGAGCTCTGTGTGTGTTGAACAAACACAAATGTGCCTGAGCAAGCATCTGCAACAGGGATTGGCTAGCCTTCCTAGTAGAAGAGTGTCAGAAATGGATGGCAGAACAAGGTTTAGGAGAAAGAAAAAAAAAAGACTAAATTTATTAAGAGCTACAAAGGCCAGGAAATTGTGGAGAACCATAATCGCCAATTAATCATGATACCATCTGTTTTACATTCTCTTCTTAGGTGCTCTTTTATTCTCCACACTAAGCTTGTCATTTGTTTCTTTTTGTAGCATTTTAGGCCTTTTTCTTTGTTTGTAATCTTCCCTTCTGTGCTTTTTCAGGTACAATCTATTTCAAAATAACTCAGCATCAGAAATATACATTAAACAATTGCCTTAAATGAAACACAGGAAATTGTGATAACTTAATTCATAATCAACTTTTTCATTGTGCATCAAAGCAGATGAAAGAGTGACCATGTTTTTTGAAGCTTTGTACACACGCACACAAGTGGAGAACTTCAAGAAACCAGATATTTTTCTTCTATGTGCTGTGTCCCTTCAAGATGTGGCCAGTCATGGTTCTCCACAATTTCCTGTCCTTTGTAGCTCTTAATAAATTTTGTCTTTTTCTGATCGCTCCTAAACTTTGTTCTGCCATCCATTTATTCAAGATTGCTAGGTAGGTTATGCTAATGTAACACCCAAGTGTCGACCATGATCAGCAGTAACTAAATATGTACCCTTGTCATCGGCCCTAGAAAGTGGTAACCAATTATGTCACCCAGTCATCGATCCTCAAGTTCCTTCAAACTGCTATATTTACCATTTAGTAGACTCTTCACTCTTTATTGTATGACTCATTTTGTCATTGGTATTGTGTTGTTGGCACAGTTCCACTTGACTGAGTTGGTATTTGTCTTTTCACAACCCTTCACTCCTCTGACATGTTGTCTTTTTGATCTCAGAGGGTGAGAAGATTGTTAATGAAGCAAACTTGAAATGAAGACAATTCGACTAAACAAAACAACAAGAATTCTTTAACTTGGGTTAAAAATATAACAATTTGGTTCATATATGAATTGTTGTATACAGCAGTTTTAATCCTTCCCTCAAATGATACTGGTATCCCCCTTGGAGTCTGCAGCTTGTTTTAGTAGTAACTTAAATTTCTAAGTTCTGGACTTCATGCCAGGCATAGGGTTTTTGGTCAGGAGGTCTTGTCGAATGATGTGAATTCCAGTGTGTCCCTCTCTGTCTCTCTTCTTCTTGTGTCTCATGTTCTTCTCTTTCTCTTATGTCTCCAAGTCCAAAATCTCCAGCTTATATGGAGTCCTGTGTCTGACAGGAATGGGGTTGACTAGGGTCTGGGTTCATTAAGCATTAATCTTTTCTAAATTTCTATATATAAAAATACATTTGCTCAAGTGGTTTTCCAAATTTGGGGTTGTCCAAACCCCTTTTGAGAGTGGGTCAGAGGGATCAAAATACTTCTTAACTCCTATTCTCTTTACACTTTGCCTCATACCACAACTCCATATAGGCTGTGTTAATCTCTCTCTCCCTTGTCTTTCTTCTTTCTTCTCCCTCTGCCTTCACTTCCTTCTTCCACTTTCTCAACAGCCACCCTCAGCTCACTTCCTGGGCTGGGGTGATAAATCCAACTTCCAGATGGTGCAGCAAAGACAAAAGGCATTTTCAGTCATTAGTTCTTATCTATAAGCTTGCCCCAAACTTCTGAAGAATTGGAGAAAGAAAAATCTATTTCCACTCTCCTTAAAATGAAAGTTTATTTTTTCTCTGTCTCAAGCATTTTTTTTTTTATGATCAAATAGACCACACAGCTATCTTGTCCATGGCCACTTCAAAATAGTAATTAATTTTTTCTTACTACTTGTATCTAAGGGAATCCAAATTAATGTTTGGATATAAAATTTTCTCTGGACGAATGCCACTAAAATTATAATGATGAATGCATGGGGATACTTTTCTTCTGGGTGGTTGATTCAAAACAGATTTTTTTTTCCTTGTCCAGAGGAATCATGAATATTATTTCAGTGATCATCCGGATTTCTTTATCGACAACATTTTTTTTATTTTATATGACATCTTCATGGATACCTTAATGGTTTCTTTCTTATTGGTGGAGGTGGGGAAGAATGGGCAGTCTTGGATTTGCTCAATCTTACTGAATTTCATCTAGTCTGGGTTTGATTCTCCTTGGAATTATCTTAAAACATGATTTTTCAACACATTTTTAATTTTCTTCACAACTCTTCAATCAATCTTCCTGCAATTTCAACAATTATCATCCAATTAGTAGACTCTCTATTCCTTTTTTTCTCTTTTTGTTTGATCAACTTCCAGAGATCTCAGTGTCACAATGCATTGCTTTCCTCTGTCCATGTTGCCTTCAGTCTGTCCTGTGAGTAACAAATTTTCCAAACACTCTTTCCTCATCTCAGCCAGGATATCTCAGCAACAAATAGAGACAAAAACAGATGTCAAATAATTTGTGAAAAGTAATAAAACAGCTAGAATAGTGTCAAAATATTCACAATGAATATCTTTAGAGACATTCCTTAAATAAAAATAAAAATACACACATTGACCAAGTTTCAAACAAACTGAACCATGGTAATAGAATTTAGATAAACAAAGAAACTCAAGTCAAATTATATTAAAATAATCTTTAATATATTAAAATTTTATGCTTTTGTTAGCTTGTTACACTTCCAACCTATTGATTTGATTTGTTTATAAAGAGAAATTTCTTTTTATTGCAAGTCTGTATTTAGCAAAGGTTACAATAGTCTGTTCTGTTAACTTGATTTTTACAGGAAAACAGAATAAGAATATATATTCTATATCTAAAGCAAAAATAATAAAATTTAAAAGAGCTTTAAATAAATGATCGTGGTTATGTAAATGTGAACAGACAGATGTGTATTCATGTGTAGATGCATGTTCACCCACAAACAAAACAAAGCATTTGTCAGAATTTTAGCATCAATTACGAAAAAATAAGTAGAAAAATAAATTGCATTTATAATCTTTCAAATTTGGTGAGATGACTGTTCAAACTGTTAATGCTGATTTCTATTCATTTCAATCCAAATCATTATACAATACAATACAAATCAATAATGTTTGTAGTTATACATATTTTATTACCATAGCTAATCAACTGGGAATTAACTCTCTCTCTCTCTCTCTCTCTCTCTCTCTCTCTCTCTCTCTCTCTCTCTCTCTCTCTCTCTCTCTCTCTCTCTCTCTCTCTCACACTTAAGTATTTGGACCTAAGTTGGTATCATTCATAAAAAAAAGCACCCAGCTAACAGCATTAAAATCACATATGAATCACTACATTCATTATTAAAAGAACTTTAAGTACAAAATATTCTGTTAATTTTCTGGTAACTTTAGATAAGATTTTTAGCAAAAGAGCACAAAAATAACTGTTCTGAGCTCTTTTGCCAATGTGGATTCAATGGTCCAAAATTTATTTCAGGGTAAAGCCAAATAACAAATAATTTAATCATAAAACAGGATTTTTAATATATGAAATCCTCAAGCTGACAGTTTGAATTCTCATATCTCAGTCATTGCTCATTTTAGATTATAGAAAAAATAAACAATATTCCAATTTCAAAAATACATATATTCTTAGTCTTTAATGCAATCAAGAATATAAGATGGGATGTAGATAATCAATTTCATTCAAAAAAAAAAGTTTTAATTTTCCATCATCTTCAGAGTTTATATTTTATTTCTATGCATTTTTCAAAATGAGTCTAACTCATTTCGTTTTCAAAACTGTGAGCTTTTGAGCAGACCTACTGTCTGAAAAATAAAATGTTTAATCAAAATTCTTAACTTCTAATATTTTTCTAGATATTTACATGTTTGTAAAAATTATACCATAAAATCAAGTCAGTTTTATTTAAATAGACATTAATATATTTCAATCATTTTAAAAAACAACTGAATACATTAAGTAAGAGTTAGAAATAGTTATGACTGTTCTTTTTGTTGTATATTTGTTAAAGTGAAACATGTTCCCCTTAGATTTACATATTATTAACTTATTCAGATGAGAACAAATTTAGCTTTCTGTTGAACTAAAAAAAAAAATACTATCAGGATTATTTTCTCATTGTCAACCATAAGTAATTTTTTATTTGTATTTTTCATCTTGAAATTTTGTAATTGATTTTTATTACAACTGTCATCAGGACACTTGTAGTATCAGCAAAGATGTATTTTTTATTCCCAATCTATGCTATAAACTGACAGTTTCAGTAAAATTCTGATGAAAAGTAAAAAATAGTCAGTGATGAATTATGGTTAAAAAGTAAAAATAGCTGGAATAGCACATTTTCAGAACTTGTTAAGTTTAGGGTAAAAATGGTAGAATAATGTTACTAATTATGTAAATTATACCAATACAACTTACATAGGTATAAATGTTCCATAGGTTATATATAATGTATAAACCTTTTTCAAATTAAGTGGTAGTAGTGTAATCAATCGAAAAAAAAAAAAATATCTGAAAATTGTAACAGAAACATTTCTGAAAATAAATTTTCTTCCCTTTTTACAAAATATTTTATAAAAATTCAAGTTATCTGATTTTTGGCAGGTTTTTAAAATCAAGGTGATTTTTTTATAAAAAAAAATAAATTCTAATGCAAATTATTGCAATTATTTTAGTTTGCAGATTTTCACATTTCACTTTTCACATTATCACTTTTTAAAAATACTGGGTGTCTTAAAAAATGTCTACACGTTTTTACAGTGTACAGCTCAGGTCAATTTGCTTTCTTTTCAGATTTACATGTTATTTTTACTGACGTCATCCAAGCTTAGTTCCGAACAAAAAAAGTTCATTCTGAAATGTTACTGGAAGTACGAAAATGCAGTTGAAGTTCAAAGAAGAAATTTTTATTAATATCCACCCACTAGGTTTACAATCTCATAAATTAGAGATAACTTTAAAGCTGATGATACTGTACACAATGTGCACAAGAACCATTTCAGAAGTCCACGGATATCAACAAGCTCTGTGAAACAAGAAAGGTTGATAGAAAGTTTAAACAGACATCCAAGAAACCTATCGAAATGTTGATTGCTGCTTGTGATTCAATCATGTCATGTTGTCAGTAATGTTTGGATCATGATGGACATCAGTTTGAAAAAACATGATGGCAAAATCTTATTTATAATAAATACTGTCTTCATATTCATTATTTAAATTAGATATTGTTGGTTCTTGAAAAAGATCCAAAATATGTATATATTTTTTGAGACATACAAAAATTTTAACAATAACTTTAATACAATTTTTTTTTTACCTTAAGTGTTGATTTCTTTCCAAAATGTTAGCTTAAAATTAATGATTTCCATATTCAAATCACCATTAAAGTTGCTCTGTGAATGAATTCTGGATTATTGAGGTTCACCCTCACCCCCACCAAAAAAAAAAAGAAAAAAATGCCTGTGAAAAAGACCTTTTGAGAAAGAGTGCAATGATAATAAAAATTGCCTTCTAATTATATTTCCTCTCTTTCTTTTATTCTTTTCTTTTCTTTCATTCTTTTCCTCTTTCTTTTATTCTTTTCTTTTCTTTCTTTTATTCTTTTCTTTTCTTTCTTTTATTCTTTTCTTTTCCTCTTTCTTTTATTCTTTTCTTTTCCTCTTTCTTTTATTCTTTTCTTTTCCTCTCTTTCTTCTTTTCTTTTCCTCTTTCTTCTTTTCTTTTCCTCTCTTTCTTTTATTCTTTTCTTTTCCTCTCTTTCTTTTATTCTTTTCTTTTCCTCTCTTTCTTTTATTCTTTTCTTTTCCTCTCTTTCTTTTATTCTTTTCTTTTCCTCTCTTTCTTTTATTCTTTTCTTTTCCTCTCTTTCTTTTATTCTTTTCTTTTCCTCTCTTTCTTTTATTCTTTTCTTCTCTTCCTTTTATTATTTCTTTTCTTCTCTTCCTTTTATTATTTCTTTTCTTCTCTTCCTTTTATTATTTCTTTTCTTTTCTTGTTGATTTGACAAATTAAAACACCTTGACCTAATGATATTTTATTTTTATTTTCCTCCTCAAAAGAGAAAACATAATGCTAGATCAGGTTGGAAGTGGAGGGGGATGCATATGTAAGTAAAGACAAAAATTGTCCAGACACACTAGGTGTCAAGAAAGATCTTTGACTTTTACCCTTTTTGTGGATTAGGGAAATGCTACCTGGAAACTCCTGGACCAGGCATGCTTCCTTTATGGCACGTCTTGTCTTTAGACAATATAGGAATGATCCTAGCCATGAGATCAAAAAGTGATAAATTTACAAGAGATTTTTTTTAACAGAAATGTCATTAGATAATATAGCTAATTAAATCATCATCATCATTTTTTTTATTATTATTATTATTTTAAAAAAAAAAAAATTCAAAGTAACTGAAGCTTTTTTGGAATTTGCATTGATAACAAAAGTCTGCACATTTGATATCAAGCCTGGACACAGTTTCTGATGTTTAGTATATAAAATCTGAAGATGGTACAACTTTGGGATGAAAATAATAGAAATTGCATTAATGAGCTGAAAATGATAGAATTTATCCTTTATTCTTCATTTTCTTAACTGAAAAAAGTAAATGATGCCAAGTTGTCCAGTTGATGAAAGATGAATTTTCTCCCAATATTCTCTTCTGCAAGACTTGATATGTAAATATTAAAAAAATTACAAAGAAATAAGACTTTTTGCATAGTAAAAAATATTTGTTTCATTTTTATTTTTGTTTGGTCATAAATGGATTTATAACTGTTTTTAATTGTTCATTATCACTTCATGTGTGAGTACATGTGTTTGGATTTTGTTCTTTTTTTTGCTTATTTCATTTTGTAGTGTAAGACTTGAATGTTTACAAAGTATTGCAGATCACAGTAGAAAAGTAAGGCACTGATCAAAATCATGCTATAAGTTAAAATAAAAATCTGAAATTTGCAAAGATAATTTTTGGCACAAGGAAAAGCTATTCATTTTCTTGTAAGTTTTGTTCTTTATTGTTTCAGTCTGTCTGATCACAGATCAACACCAGCTCCTAACAAATATAAAAACATATTTCGATGCCAATTTTCAAAACCTGAATAGAAAGGAAATTAATTTCTTAATAATATAAACGGAATGAAGACTTTTTCTCTCCAATTGAACCATACCCCAATTTCCTCTCAGTCATACAGTACTGATCAATTCGCATACTTTTAATCTAATTTCCCCCTTTTTAAATTCAGTGGAACCACTTTTAAGCTGTAAATACATTTCTCATTCATTTATCCAGAAATTTATATGCTTTTATGTATATATCTTCATATGTATATATAGGAAAAAGTTTAAACTGTAAGCTGATAATTAAAATGCAACTCAGGACTCGTATGATAAATTCACTCAGTTCAAAAAAAGGTGGGGGTGATTAATTAACCATGTCAGTTCCAGCAGCCAAATAATCAAATTCATTGGTTAATATATTTTCACTAAACTAGAGCTAAACTTATTAATAAAAAAAAATAATCAAATAACAAAAGGCTTATGACAAATTAATAAAATTGTGATTGTTTCAAATTAGAAGAAAGCAAAAATTAGTATTTGAAAATGGATGAATGAATTAGCTGAAACAATCTGAAAAAAAAACAGGGATGGCGGGGGGGGGGTGTTAACAAAATGTCTAAATTGTAATTCAGTCCACAAGCTGACAACCTAGCTGGGTGGCCACTTGGGTATACCAGGTGCTGTAAGCTAGGATGTGTGGGTGGTGTATTGGATAATGACTTGACTGAAAGTGTAACTCAGCTCTTCGATTCCCAATTCCAGTCGAGTTCATAATATTTACTTATGCACAAATACTCTTGGGAAAGGTATCAATCAACCTCTTCTCTCCCTCACTATGGGTTAATTAGTAGGACTTGTATCAGTAAATCATTATTATCTCAAAAAAATTCTTACAATCTAAAAACATTTTCTGGCTTTTAAATAACCTAAAACCGGTTGATAAGGCATAAAAAAAATCAATCGATCAAACTGACAAATTAAATAATCAGTTTTAGAAACAATTCCTCAGTCAGTCAATTTAGCTCCCAACAAATATAAGAATGTATGAAGGTTATATGATGAGTTCATCATCAAAGTCTTCTATAGTATTTCTTTAGTCATTGTTACAGTGATAATTTCATTTACATGACGCATTCATCAGAAAAAGAAAGAAGACAAAGTATATATTTTACACTTCAATTATTGAATCTCTAGTATTCACCATAAAGAGCCCACTGTGTCTGTTAATGTTCTTGTTATTCTGTGTAAATTTGAAGATTCCAAAAGTTTAAAATTGTTAAAGAAATAAATTAATTCATTAATATTTTATATTTCACAAGCCAGATTATTATTTATTAATTTTCTACTTAATTCATACTTGAAAAGAATCCTTACATATAAAAGACTCGTTTGAGAATTTGTGCTAAACTTACTTATCTCCCTTGTAATGTAAAGATAATTTCAAATGAAGAGAAATAGGTTCCAGAGAGACAAACTGCTTTTGTTTTTATAAAATATATGGAAAAAGTTCTGCAGTGGAACAAAATGTAAAACATTTTTTTAAATATAGTAAACCAAATATAAATTTCAATAAAAATTTTTTTCCTTTTATAAAATATGAAGAAAAAAAATCCCATTTGAGTATTTTCAGACTAGACAGAATTTTCAATCTCTTTTAAAAGCATAATGTTAATTGATCTGCACTCACACATTCAACCAATAAAAATCCAGAATGTACAAATCAAAATAATATTAACATAATCTCTTCCTCTAGAGACTTGTTTAGACCAAATGAAATTAGAATGTCTGATATTGCCTTGTATGAAAACCTTAAAAATTTGTCATTGATCATAAAGCAAAGTAGGGAGGAGGCCCTCCATACACTGAGTATCAGCTCAAATAGTTAGCAAAATGAAAGGTCAAGTTGCAGATGAAGGTCACATTGCAGTTGAAAATGATGAAACAGGATAAGCCACAGGTATTAGGGGGTTTGGGGGGGATGTTCTGACCTGAACAGTCTTTGTCAGTGGTTATAAAGACCTCCAGACAGTTAGTTGCTGTTTTCTGTAAGATTCTGATTTGTTCTTTTTTTTTTTTTTTGAATTGGGCAGAAAAAGAGATTCTGTAGAAATGGTCAACTACCTGCCACTGATGGAACCATAATCTACAAAAATAAAAAAGTAAAAATATCAATGCAAAACCATGAGAAATTAGACAATGGGCTGAAATAAAAAAAAAAAAATTAAAAACAGCACAGAATATACACTATTTACATTATTCAGACTATTGTCATCTTTGTCACCATATTTATTACATTTCGGCTGTTGTACACTCCGTCCTTCTTCAGGTGGTTGGAATGTCAAACTGAACCCTTTATTTACAGGAGATAACTGACAAGTGACATTCATTAAACATGGCATGTGGAACTAAAACAGTCTACCCCATTGAGTGAAATAAAGGGTTTAGTTTGACATTCCAACCACCTGAAGGCCAGAGCATACAACGGCTGAAACATAATAAATAAGGTGACAAAGATGAGGACAATAGTCCGAATAATGTAAATAGTGTACATAATACCTCATCTCAGAAATATAGACAGAGCACAGAATATATACAGATCTTTTAAGAATATATTGTGAAAAAATTTCTATCTATAAAAGGCAGGTGTGTGTGTGTGTGTGTGTGTGTGTGTGTGTGTGTGTAACAAATGCACGGCAGCAATTTTTGATGGATTTGCACCAAAATTTACATGCACATGCTCCAAGTTAGTGTGAAAGCCAAGACCAACTTTGCATTTTTCAACTCCCATTGATAGTGGAAATAATCAATTTTTTTTATGTTTCTATGGCAGTTTTCATGTAGTGAGAGCCTATAGCTGGTTGCCACAAATAGAGAGGAAGATTCTATTGGCTAGCATGAGAGCCAACAGCTGACTGACACGAATGTTAACTAGCATGCTAGCATGCAAAAAAAATCGATAGCTGCATTCGTCACAAATGGGAAAAATTTAAATCTGCATGCCACTTTACTCCAATTGGCTCATTCGCTTGCTTAAATTCAACGTTGATTCTGATTCCGCAGAACTGGGTTGGGTGTGCAAAAGTATTTGTTGTTAACATTCTTTTTTTTATTTCGGTTTTTCCAGTTACGAGTCCTTTGTTTAAAGCTGATCGTTTTGTGTTCATTTTGTTTAGTTCTTTTTTCGTAACAGATTTAATGTTTAGTATAGAGCTTAGAAAAAATTTGCAGTGTGAGATAGACAAGAAGTAAGGCATGTAGCAACATCAGCATGGCAAAGGGCACTCCTTTAAAGGCAAGGAAGGGTAAAAATATTTTAAGTCAAGTGATAATGATTGCTGTATGAGTCGTACGATTTTTGAATTTGGCACAGGCAACGCCGAGCCATGCTGCTAGTATGTTATATGATTTAACTCAACAAAATCAATTGCAAGCAAAATAATTATGCATCTCGAACAATATTGTCAATACTCTTTCCCTACAACTTCTTGTATTTTGGTATTTAAAAACATTTTTAAATCAGACAATATATTTTAGTTTTCTTGAGAAGGTAAGTGCAGGTGATGTAATAGACAGTGGTTCGGAATGAGAAATCAGAGAACTAAATTTGAATTCCAGTGGGATCTGTTGTATTCACTTTACACCCAAATACTCTTGGGACTGGGAAAGGTATGAATTCATCTCCTCCCTCCCAGCTATGGGTTAAATAATAGAACTGGAAAAATCATTGTTATTCTCCAAAAATTATTAATGCAGTATTCAGTCAGAAAAAAATCATTCTTAAATAAAAAAGAATTATTCTTACAATCCAAAAATGTTTTCTGGCTTTAAATAACCCACAAAGGGTTGATAAGTCATAAAAAACAAATCAATCTCTTGATAAGATTTATAAAACACAGATGTATATTCCAGAAACACAAAATGTGAAATGATTACTTTATTCTTAATAATTGTAAAGTTTTTTTATATTCTTTTTTTAAAAAGAAAACCTTTGATGGCAATCAGTCTTCTTTGTGCTGTGTCCCTTCAAGACATGGGTGATCATGGCTCTCCTCAATTTTCTGTCCTTTGTAGCTCTTAGTAAAGTTTAGGAAAGGTTAACTCTGAATTGCAAAGCATAAGTAGAAATCCACTCTTCTGCTCAGCTATGAGTAGTAAAGGTAAGAAATCAGAGAGCCAAGTTCAAATTCCAGTGGGTTCATTACATTCTATTATGCGCAAATACTCTTGGGAAAGGTATGAATCCATCTCATCTCCCACAAGCTATAGGTTGAATAGTAGAACAGACTGGGTCCTATAGCCTTGGTTGGCAACTGGTCTACTATAGAATAAATAGCAATCTACTGCAGGAAAAACTTTTGCTTAGTCAGTCATGAATTGAAACAGACATGATTGCCCAAGTAAGTATCACTTAATGACTGTTAAAAATAGCAAAAAAGTCGTGGGTGGAGTTAAATCACTGTATAATGAAGGACCAATCAGATCCAAGTTTCATTATACAAAGAGAAAGATGCTGGATCTCAAAAGGGAAGAAAATGATAAACATAACATTTACTTTGGCTAATATAAATTGGTCATATGAGGTCTGATCAAAATGTATCGTGACTGTTACTATAATAATGAAGCTAAAGTACACTGAGTGAAGTCGCTTGGCACAGATTAGCTTTGAATTCTTTCGTGCATACACACAGTTATAGCATTCTCACTCACTTCCATTGTTTGTAGCAGTGCCTGGAAGCAAAGTGTGTAGAGTGTGGTCATCTCACCACACCACAGAGGTTCTATCAGTAACAATAGCTTGTGCGGCAGTTTTTGGCCAAGTAAAATATTCCCCAGGTTCAACAACCCCCATATTTCCCAGATTTCACCCTTTGTGACTTTTTTCCTCTTAAAAAATCAAATCCCACTTGAAAGGTGATTCCAAGACATTGAGGAAATCCAAGAGAATGCAACAAGGTAGCTGCTCACTATCCTAAAAAAGGAATTCCATGAATACTTCCAACAAGGGAAATGATGCTGGATAAAGTGTATCTTCAGAAGGGGATAACTTTAAAGGAGATTAAATGCAGAATTAATATGTGTTGTAGTTTTCTTTTTATAGCACCAGTCCCAATATTTTTTGATCAGACCATATATATTTTTTTTCTACAGCCTTTCTGAATTATGCCAATATCAATAGCATATTTAAAAAAATGGCATGAATCATCAAACATAAATAAATATGGCTCATTTACAATTATAATAAAAGGAAAAGATTGTCTTTATAGTACAAAACATTATCTCACAAGTGCATCATGTCACATGTCAACATTGTCTTCACTACATGTATTTACTCTCACTTTTATATACATTTGGTCTGAAATTTCTGTTGTATAATGTTCAATCTATGTTATTATTTACCACTGAATTAAGAGAAGGAGATTATGTTGAAAAATATTTGTACAAAATACTAGTATTTTTTCCATCATTAGGCTACAAACTTATTGAAGTATATATAATTAACTCTTTGAACTCTGACCCACTGGTGATTATGGTATATTCACTTTCACACCAGCCTCTCAGTTTCAAAGGGTTAATATATACACAGACATAGCAGATAAGTACAGGTATTTTTATTAGAGAAAGTTATATAATTATATCATCATCATCAGTCCCACAATTTGATATGGTCATAGGGTTATGGCAGAGCTGAGCACCTGACCTGTTCTCTCCACATATCTCTGTTACATGCCAATGTCTTGGTCTCTGTAAAGGAACTTTCAGTAAGAATCCCAGGCAATGGCCAATCTGATATTAAAGTTAGAGACTTATTCATTCATGCTTAGTGTGTCTTGAACAAGTGGTCTTGACGGAGCCCATCCCTCTCCAGGTTATGGTTATACAGCAACACACAATTCATATATAATGTGCCTGTTTGCTTGCTTGTAGTTAGAACTATATTCAAATTGGGATATACAGATATAATTATTTTCTACTTTTAATATCAGTAGAAGCTGCATAGAGAAATAATGATACCAGATTACAAGAGAACAAGATATTTCTAAAGAATTAATGAATTTTATTTTTTTAATCCAGCATATTTTATTACTTCTTCAGACTAAATATTTTTATTACAATGTGGGATATTTAAAAACAACAAAGAAGAAAAACAAAAACAATAATAAAATAAATGAAATAAGCTGCCATCAGATGCCAGAAATTTAAAATTTAAATTTAAGCCTTCTTGAATCTTCAGTATTTCACTCATGTTTAATTATAATTAACATCTGATTATATTTTTGTTACCTCCCCTTATCTATATATATGATTCTATCAATTTACTCTGAAGAGGCCTTTTTGAAGGATGAAATGCATTATATAGAATTTTTTTCCATTTTGCCATTCAATATATCATATCATTTTTATTCTACTAACCAGGCACAACAGGTTGGCTGCTTTGGCTGATGCAGGAGTCACGTCTCAATTGCCCTCCATTAATTGTGGGTAGTCGAGTAGGCATCACTTTTAGTGTTGGTCGGACAGAGTGGCCCAAAATCGAGGCGAAATAAATGAAACTCAGCAACATCTGCAATTCAAGAAGAGAAAAGGAAAACTGAATTTAGAATGTAAGAAAAAACAAAATTAAGAGAAATTCTACAGGAAATAATTTTTTAATTGATCTCATTGTAATGACAAAAGTATGCAGGTGTAGATTTTAAGAAAGCTTTAATCAACTGAGAATATAAGGTTCACATATAGTGTCCTTTTATAGTTCCAGTAAACAGAAATAGCTCTCTCAAAGAGGAGAGTAACAAATCAAGGGGAGATCACTCTAGATTACTCATAACACTTGTATCAGTCCAAGCAATTCTGATGTTTCCTCTTTGGTCTTTGATAATGATTAATGAATAATGCTTGAACTGATATGAGATTAGTTAAAAAAATTATTTCTTGTATCATATTTTTTAATTTTGTTTTTCTTACATTCTAAATTAAAAAGATTTTCTTACATTCTAAATTAAAAAGAAATTTTTAAATTAAAAAATTAAGCTGCTTTCATATTTTTATATTTCTTCACATTGCATTGTGAAAGTTTTCTAGGATTTGCAAATTACAGAATCTAAAAAAGAAAATTAATAATAAAACTGTAATTTCCCATTTTCTGCTTAACAAGACTATGCAACATTTATGTTCTATAAATCATTTGCAACTTATGTTCCAGCAAAATCTATGACAAGTGGAAAAAATTTTTGTGTAATTCATTTCGTCCTTTATGACTTCATCGGGTTTAAAGTGATGTTTATGTTGATGCAACTATATATGCACATTGCACATGAAAAGGGGATTTTGTGAATTTAAAATTTTTTTCTTGTATAAATATGTTTTTGGTATATAGTCTAAACAAGTTCATTTAGTTTCTTTTTGTCTATGCTTTTATCAATATTGTTATTAAATATCCCATCTTGTAATAACACAGCTGTTTAAAATGCTTGTTTTTGTCCAATAGGAAAATCCAACATGGCACTTGAACGAAATATTTGGCAAAAAATCCAATTTGTCAGTCACATTTTAAACCCCTCAGAGAATGCAAAGTTCTCAAAGCAAACCTGTACCAAACTGTTTTCCTGAATCCTTGATGACTTGGCTGTCCAAAAATGACAACATCAAGATGAAATAATGGAAACTGACCGTGGAAAACACAATTAAGTGCAACAAGTTTTCGATCAATCGGCTAACATGTAGACGTTTTCAGGCCGTGTTATAGGATCCAGACAGCTATTATTTGCACATGGAATTATTCACTCGTAATTAATCTTGGCTGTGAAAAATGTCACTCGGGTTAGCATTGAAAAAATATGGCCAATTTTCTGAGAAAAATCACCTTTTTTTTTTTCTTTTTGGGGAAAAAGTATTTTTTAATTTTTTTTTTTTTTTTTTTTCAAACTTCAATCCTTTCTCTTTAAGTTGGTGTGAACATCATTGAATAAAAGGAACCACTATATGACCCAATGATGGGAAATCCGAAAGACATGTGGTGAAAAAAAACAATGTCGGCTGCTAAGTGTTGTTGTCATCACCTGGGTCACAAGGTGTAAAAAAAACAAAACAAAGCACATCAAGCCATTGTTCAAACATAGGTTTGAGAAAAAAATAACTTATATCAAGCCCTTTTTACCAATATTTCCTCTTTTTTTTTTTTTCACTCTTTGCTCTTATCTTGTAAGTGATGGAATTTACAAGCTGATGACGGCTTGTTCAATGTTTATCGCTGACTGGCTAGTATTTGACCCAGACATGTCAAAGTCAATTTGGTTTAATTTTCATTATCGCTGCCCTAAACTCCTGGTTTCCAGCGGATAAATCTTTCGCCTTTTACTAAAGATTTCTGTGACCGGGTGTCAATTTTTTTTAGCCCCTGCCAACTATATGATTGAAAATTACCAACACTTTGTTGCATTTTGACCCCCTAGGAATGTTGTTTTTCTTCAAACTTTCAAATTTATGCCTGAAATAGTTTGATTATGATTTAGGCTTTCTGATTTTCGGATAGAAAATTTTTACCATAGCAAACCTGAAATGACTAAGTTTAGAGGGGCTATAGGAACCCTCATATAGCTGTGATAATAGAAGATCTGCCAAGGAAGGAGAAATGTTGTAGGAATCTGGACGTAAATTTAGTGCAGATGATCTAGCGATTAAATCACTTTCTATACATTTTCATCTTAGTAAATTGCTTTCTTTTTTAATTAAGAGTAGAATTTTTTAAATCAAAATTATGTTCATACTCATTACAGTGAGTAACTAATACATTGTGTTGTGTTGTAAAAGATCCCTTTTGTGCTCATATAAACTTTTATTTAAATTCCTTGAGGTTTCTCCAATGTATTCCTTGTGGTAATTATTACAGGTGATAAATTCCTCCTTTAAGTTTTACCTTATTATTTTGTTTTATATTAATGAAATCTTTTATTGTTTCAGAAGTAGTTGTAACAAATTTATATTAAACTTAGATAAATTCTTTTCTATTGTAGTTGTGATAGAATTGGTGGGTAGAATATATTTTGATTTGTTGGATTTGTCAGAAACATCTTCTCTTCTGAACTTATGTTCTATAAATCATTTACAATTTTTAATAATAAAACAGTTATTTCACATTTTCTGCTTAACCAAAATCTCCAACATTTATGTTTTATAAACCTTATCTACTGAATTGAAATACTTCATAACATTTATCAATGTTTTGGCTTGACTTTAAATATCAGAATACAACAGAAACAATTGTTTGAAATTGTACTTTTTTCTTAATAAAAATCCCAAATCATTTTTAAAGTAGCATATTCATTTTTAATAGAGCACTACCTACTGATAAAATTAGTCAATAATGAAATATTTCATTGATGAAACAGTGAAAAAAGAGTAGAAACCAGAATGATAATTCATAGGGATTTTGAAAATTGTAAATATGAAAAAAATTGCCATTAATAAATTAGAAAAAAGTATTATAAAAAAGAAATGATAGTTTAAAGAATTAAAGGATTTTATTTTAATCTGATGTTATTTCTTATTACTCCAAACATTATTTTTAATGGATACTGTTATATACCGTACCTATGAACACTAATGGATATGTCCCAATCCTCATAAATATGTTGAACACTATTGTAAGTGGAGGTAATATGCTGTCTAAGTAGTTCACCACTAGCAGTGGTTTACCTATTTCATGACGCTGGCGAGTATTGTACTTTGTTGATGTTATAAAGATTTCCATTTCCAACCTCTGTTTTGGTTATTCCTCATTCAGTAACCTTTTCTACGTTACAACAGATACCCACTTTGTTTAGACACCCTGAATTTAAAAAAAAACACTGTGAATTATGTCTACCTGCCTGTGCATTTGAGAGAGTTAATAAAGAAAATTGGGTGCCACTTAAGTATGTGATCCACCTTCCGAGTCGGATCTACCAGAACAACACATCACTAAAGTATATGATCTACAAGTTGAGAAAATTCTCTACATTAAAATATACATTAAAAATAGATATATACAGAATAAGACAAGAAAAAGAAGAAATAGTCTTTATTTAATAGACTATAGTGATATACTAAACAAATAATACTATATGATAAAAAAAATAAAAGAAATTACTATTTTAACTAATATCATCAATATTTGTAAACAGTTTGAACATCATTCAGAAATGCAATAAATAAATGTTGAAACACATTATTAATCCAGGTCATCAAAATGAAGTTCTTCAGTCTTTGTTGATTTTTACTAGTGTAGACAATATGACTTCAGACTGTTAATATGGAAAGTACATTTCCCAAGATTCAGCTCTTTATAGTTAATCAACATATGTGGTAGTAAGTATAAACTTCAACAGAAATGTATGATCACATTTTTTTTCCTAATCATTTCACCCCAAGCAAGGTAGGAATGTCACTGGTACCTATCTGCAACATTTGTTTTATTATTTTTTTTAATGAACTGTATGAATTATGTCAACCTGCTTGTGCATTTGAAAGACTTAATAAAGCAAATATACTCTCTGACAATTACAATTTTTGGTGCTAATTAAGCATGTGATCTATGTGCATGATTCTTCTTAAATATATGATCTACCTTAAAGAAGATTATCCACATGCACAACTTTACTTGAGTAGCACCTAAGTAGCACACAGCAAATGATGGCTTCCAGTGCATTTTGTATATAAACCAGACCTATTTTTATTTTTTTTATTAAGTCTTTCAAATGCACAAGCAGGTTGACATAATTCATACAGTTCATTAAAAAAAATAATAAAACAAATGTTGCAGATAGGTACCAGTGACATTCCTACCTTGCTTGGGGTGAAATGATTAGGAAAAAAAATGTGATCATACATTTCTGTTGAAGTTTATACTTACTACCACATATGTTGATTAACTATAAAGAGCTGAATCTTGGGAAATGTACTTTCCATATTAAAAATCTGAAGTCATATTGTCTACATTAGTAAAAATCAACAAAGACTGAAGACACTGTGATGTACTTCATTTTGATGACCTGGATTAATAATGTGTTTCAACGCTCAACAAAAAGAAACATGCTTGATCCCAATGTCTTTATCTGATTTTGTTGAAGGCTGGTAATACTATTTATGCTATTAATATTTTGTTTATTTTACCATCTTGTCTCACAACTACTTTGCTGACAAGTTACAATTTTTTTATAATGATATTTACTTTCCTAAAAACTTCTACTTACCAAATAAAAAAAATGTAGTTAGATGAATAAAGCATTTTTCTAAAAAAAATGTAACATCATGCATTCTTCCTCATAGCCGTATTGACAAAGATAAAAATTTACCAATCAAAATACAGACTCTTAGGCAAAGCAGACTCTTAAATTTTCAATAGAAAACTGAGGAGACAAATTTCTGATAATTTTTTTTCTTATCTTAGAATGTCCAGTTATAAAATAATACGTAAAGATGATAAAGAAGTGCTTTTTCATGAAATCTCAAAATGAAACCTTTCTTATTTATCTATTTTAATCATTTCACCCCAAGCAAGGTAATAAAGCCACTATAATGCAAGGGGTTACTGAGTGTGAAAGAATATGAGGAAAAAAAAAACATTATAAAGGAGAGAGAACAATAAAAAAACAGGAATTAAGAAGACAGAAAATAACAACTGACATAACATTTAAATTTTTGAAGAATAAAGTTGACTAGGAGACAAGAAACTGGAAGAGAGTTCCACAAGCGAGAAGTGTGAAAGAAGAAACTATTAGCATAGAACTTAGGGTTACATCTATCAATTTCAACTGTAAAATCTTAATCTGGAAATTACTATACATAAAAGTAGAGTAGAAATTAAATTGTTTTTTTTTTCTTATGATAATGGATTAATTATTTACTTCAGTTTGATGTCAGATAAAATGAGAATGAAGTTGTATTTACCTGTATGGAGACGAGCAGATTATTGTACCAAACCTTAGGAAGAAAGCTACTTGAACCTTTAAAATAAAATTTAAATAATTTTAAATTTAAAAAAAAAAAGGTACATTTAAACTAGTCAATGTTTATCACTTTATTAAATATATTTCTTAGAACCAAATTAATATAAATTATGGTGAGTGTTTACATTAGAAATATCCAAATTTTAAGATATGCTTTTGCCTTTTAAGGTAGTATAGAGAAGTAATAGTTTAAAACATGAACCAACATTTCAATCTTAATACTAACAGTAAACAGCAAAACTTAGGTGCTAAAAGTTTAAGTAAAAAAATAAAAATTAATGAAAAACTAAATATATAAATTAATTTCAATACATTTTGTTGCATATGTAAAAAATTGTAGATTGTTTTAGTCATCATTGTCACCATAGTAGTAGTAGTAGTAGCAATAATAATAAACAAATTTTGAAAAAAGTTAAATTTAAAAAAAACGATTGACTGGGTGTGACACAATATAAAAGTTAAAATAAGAAGTCGCCCACTGTTTAACACAGTGCTTTATTTCAGTAAGAAAAATTTAGCTCTTACAATCCTTGTTAAAAAAAAAGCACAAAAAAGGAAAATTTAGCTCTTACAACCCCCCCACCCCAAAAAGCACAACTACACTAATAAGCAATATTTATATTATAGATATGTGTGCATTCTATTTGGATCAGTGCATAAAACTAAAAACCTACAACAATGATTAGGAGTTTTGTTAAGATATACAAATATTTAGATAAGTTAAAGTTTATTAGCACTACGATGTACTGATTTGATAAGATGCAACTAGTTAATAATCAAAGTTTTCGATAAAACTTCTCAAAAATTAAAATCTCAACAATATACAAGTTGTTTGAGGACATTCTATAATTTTTTTCTATCATATATGCATATAACAAAAATTAAGTAAATGGCTTAGAAAATATAAATTTTAGTAATCATCAATTTCCATTTTTAATTTATTTTTCAGGTCACTTGATGTGTGTGAATGACAGCCATTTTTTCTTTGAGTTAAGATTTAGTTATTATTTCAAATTCTGAAATGAGTTGTTGATATTTTTAAATAACCTTTCTATTTATTTTGTCTCTATAATATTTCAGAGCATTTATTCTCTGACCTTCCTTAATTGTATTATCTGGTACAGACATGTTTTGGGCCATTTTTTTTTTTTTTTTTTTTTTTTTTTTTGACAAGTATTTGTTTTTAACTTTAACCAAATTAATCAAAGGCAAATAAAAAGATTCAAATGAATTAGTTCAAATTATATCACATCAGCTTTTATTTAAAAATCAAATTCACTCCCAAACTTATCCCAACTTCTATGTGCCATGTCCATTTAGGAAATGGGCGATTATGGCTCTTCACAATTTCCTACTCTTTGTAACTCTTAGTAAATTTTGTCAGTTCTCTATCTCTCCTAATCCCTCTTCTGTCAACCATTTACAAAAGCTCATTAGTTTGGTTATGCACTTTCCTTTGTCCCTCTTGACTTCAATATATCCTGTGTCAAATTTTCTAAACCCTCTTTCCTTCTCATGTGTCTTAAAAATTTCAACTATCCCTTTCTGATGTTAAGTATACATCCTTTTTGTTTCCATTTCCCCTAAAACTTTGTTATTATTGACATGTTATTCTCAGCATCCTTCTGTAGCACCACATTTCTGTTGCCTCAAATCTCTTCTTTGCGTGTAAGGAATTCACTGCTATATGGCAGGACTGATATTACATAACAGTCCAATACTTTTGCTTTGTTTCTATAAGATTTTCCAATTTCTTAATATTTTGTTTAGCTTTTGGAAGGCATTTTTTGCTATCCTTATGTGCATTCAGATTTTGGTGTCACATTTCCCGTTCTCTGTTGAATACCACCGAGATATTTAAATCTTTGTACTTGCTTGATTTTGGTAATTGCAATTTTTAATTCACATGTTGGGCTCTGACAACTATACATTCTGTCTTTTTACAATTGATGTTTAATCCTGTCTTCACACTTTAATACCTTTGCTAGGAGTTCTTTTCTGTGTCTGCTATCAACATTGTGTAATCTGCATATCTAATGCTGTTAAGATTGTGGCTGCCAATAATGGATCTTGGTAGGAATTCTAATTCTCTCAGAATTGCCTCACTCTAAAGCCTACAATGATTAGGAGTTTAGATAAGTTAATACTCTTTTAATAATTTCCATATATTTCTCCTTCACATTTAGGTCATTCCAGAGTTTTTCATATTTCAATTTGGGTGCAGCTCTCTTCAATTTTCATAATTTCACTCCAAGTTTACAATATCACCAACATGAAACATGGGATGGAAATTATCAAATATGCAAGAGAAACAACTTTAGCTTCTATTTTACCAATAAAATTAATTCAGTTGTAAATTTTATTAAAAAGATATGCTCATGCATATAAAGTTATTCAAAGAATTATATACCTTGCTATTCGGACCAACATGCTTATTTTGGCCATTATACTTAGAACGTTTCAACCATTGTACCCTTTGTCCTTAAACCTATTGTCTATACACAGGTGATAGAATTGTATGAGCGTCTTGACTCGAGTGGTGGAATTTTTTTTTGAATACTCCATCTTAAACAGTTGTAAGTTGTAAGTTGTTCCCTGTGTCTGGTAGTGCTCAAAAATCAGATACTCCAGTTCAGTGGAAGAAACAGAAAAGCAATGCAAAGGTGAATAAAATTAGTATTAACTAATATGAGTTATCTCCCCTAAGTATGGAACATAGAATGATAAAAGTTAATGTTGTGAATATAACAACTAAAACGACTGTGCTGGTCTGAACAGAAAGATATATAACTAATGATAATTCCTCAATTTGATAATTCCAGCATATATTTTCAAAGTATTTTTCTTTTGGTGATTTTTAATTTAACTGTGTGATTTACAAATTTTAAAAGGTGACAAAGTATGTAAGTTCTTAAAATAATTATAAAAATCAACCAAATGATTTTTATTAATATATATATATATATATTTATATATATATATATATATATAAACTATATATTCCACTTCAACTCATATTTCTTCAGTATCTTTGCTAACATTAATTTTATAAAAATTTTGTATAAATTTCAACATTATTAGTTACTAAACTATAAACTCATTTGACAGTCATGAGAAATTCAGGTTCCTTCTCTTCCAGTCACAGAGTTGTTATTAAATTATTGATGGTACATATAAAATTCAGTAAAGGAATTAATTCAGTTAAAGCAGGTTTTTATTTTTCCCTTTATAATTTCTCAAATATAAAAACATTTTATATATGATGAATAATTACATCCATGAATTTTTTTATATTATGAATTCATAATATTAGCAGTATTTAATTTAATACAATGTTAATTAATATTATATTAAATTAAATATTAGTATAATTTCTTTCATAATATTAGTATTTCCAGAATTGAGGCACAGTTAGATTTCAAGTATGTTTTTTTTTTTTTTTTTTTTTGACAACTAATTGAATGAATAAAGAGAGAGGAATAAATAAACAGGGGAGGATTTTGGAAGGTCAAACCTACCACAAAGGGTTCCTGATGATACAGAGAGGAACAAGAATTTGCTCCACAGTTCTACCACCTGCACTGGATCATTGATGTTCTCATCAACAAATTTCCAACCCTTGGGCTAAAAGGAGAGAAAAAAAAAAAAGAAAAATGTGATCTTAAATTCAGAAAGAACCAAAAAATGAACAACACAGATGGTCATCTTTATTTGTTTATTTCCTACAATTAGTTTTACACACATAAAATTGCTTTTGCGACTGAAGCTGAGATGCCAGGTTAAGACCAACAACATTGCAGATTCATATGTGTATTTTATTTAAAATCTGTAACTGCATAGTGCAGACCAGTTGTTTTTATTTCATGAAAACTGCACTTATACCATTCCAGCATCATATTTGCTGTATAAGAGTAAGTGTCGTTGCCAACACTGTGGTTTAAAACTAGATCATCAGTGAGTAATACAGGCAATTCCATTATCAAGTAGATCACATGATCATAAAGGAAGTGAATAAATACAAAGTAGCGTAATGTTTATGGTTCACTCTTCTTGTCTATCCACTATTGCTATACGTTCACTCACTCTATTTTGTATGGATTATGATTATCTTCTGATCATTATACTATTTGACGATTACTACTTGAATAAGTATTACTAGTGCGGATATCAAAGGGAAGGTGTTACTACTAGTACCGGCGTCTACAAAGTCTCGAATACAACAAGCATTTTGGAAGTGATAACGAGACTTCACTTGACATAGCAAAAGAAACAAGCAAAGCCATCCAACATAACAAAAATGTCGACAATTTTGAATCTATATCAATAACTTCTTGGAGAAATGAAAGGAAAACAAAGCAAAAAAAAAAAAGTGACCTCTGCTTAGTTGTAACTGATAATTGTGGAATTCAATATAGAAAGAATTTACAAAGCTATTCAGTCATTAGTATTAATATCTAAGAAATTTTAAGCAATTTACAATTTATTAATATCTAAGATATTTTAAGCAATTTACAACAATATTTATCCTATATGATACACACACATATATATATATATATATATATATATATATATATATATATATATATATATATATATATATATATATATATATATATATATATATATATATATATATCATAAATGATTTTATAAAATTCTTAAATAACTAATAAAAATTTATTTCAACAAAAATTTAATGCTAATCATTAGAATAAACAATTTTGATGTACTTCTTAAATATTTTTATTTTGAATTTTACAGTTTTCTTATGGAATTTTTACTTTAACCACATGAAACTATATAAATGTAAATAAAGTCTGTGTGTATGATAATGTAATAAAAATATGTAATTTTAATTATGCTATTTGCTTATGTCCCCCACAATTGCTATTACAATCAAGACTTTATCAGAATCTCTCTCTCTCTCTCTCTCTCTCTCTCTCTCTATATATATATATATATATATATATATATATATATATATATATATATATATAGCAGAAGCACCAAAGCAGATGTGATAATAATATTCAATGCATGAATGGATGGAAGACATATAAACATGTAAGATGGATTCTGGTAAGAAAAATTGTCTAGCCTAGCATGATGACACAGTAAACCAATTTTTCTAGCAGCAGACCTATCAATTCAGTATAATTTTTCACAAGGAGTCACTCTCTTGAAAATTATTTTAGGGGCTGATCAAATGAAGGAAGAAAGATTTATGACTAAAAACTGTAAAGAGAATGAAAGATACAATTTGTTTCTTGAGTTTTTATTAAAAAGTGGAAAAAGAATTTTTTTTTTTTTTTTGATAAAATAGATATTTTTTCCACTATAAAAAAAACAAGTGAGTTTTAATACTATTAGAGACAATATTAATACATGCACAGTAAATTAAGCAATTATTTAAAAGAATATTATTTTATTTATTACTGTAATCAAAATTGTCTTTAAAATGTTGGATATAAACCTTGAATGGAATTGTGCTTTGGACCAGCACCTGGTTAGGTTTTAGATGCAGCTTCTCAACATGGATCACAAATTCCACAAAGGAGCAATTTGATTTTTAAGGGTGGTAATTTAAGAATGAGTTATTAATAGTGAATTTTTTTCTAGTGAGTCTGTGAGTATGAATGTGCAAGTTAATAAATTCGGTGTGTATACAGGATACATGGATAAAAACATTTGTGTGTATGTATCTACATGTGTAATTATGTATGTACTGTATATAACATATATATTTGGTTGGATTGATGTGCGTTTGTAACCCTGGGTTTCATGCTTTTGCGATCGTCAGACAAACTGATTAATTGATTTAAAATTTTGGGTTTATGTAGATTGCGTGTATTAGTGCTATTATGGGAGTGGGGGGAATCATCGTCATGATGTCATCATGCTAACGCAAACATAGATGCATGTTCATATGCCCGATGAGGCACGCAGACACACAAACACACTTGGTTGTTCGTCGGGACTCATACATATATAAACATATGTGGACAGTTTTGGATTTGACATATGTATGTATATGGGTGGTGTTGTGTCTATACATACGCATTTGTATGTTGAAATTCAAAGATTGGAAGTGTAGCGAAAATTTCTTGTGAATGCGCTTTTCTATTAAGTACCATGCATATAATATATAAATAATTATATATATACATACACACACTTTTCTCATATATATATATATATATATATATATATATATTAGTAAGACAATATTTTCTATTTTCATAAATATTGTAGAATTTTAAAATTAAATGATAATACTATTGAATATATACTGTCTCAAGTTCTTAAGGAAACTTAAGGGCCTTTTATGTTTCCTCTACATGAATAGGAGTGTACCTTTTTAATAAGAAGAATTATATGTCACTTTGATGAGGCATCAGGGTTTTAAAGATGCTTAAGTGGAACATGGCCAAAAAAAGCTTGGGAACCACTGTTCTAGGATGATCACTGTTGCTTGATGTAGAAAAATTGGCATGATCAAAATGTAACCTTATTATCAAAAGATCACAGGCAGCAACAAAAAAGAATTGAAGGAATAATTCTAGATAATTGATGTACACATACAAAAGCAAAACAGAGACAACTGCTATGAGATTTTGATAATGGAGAAAGTGAAGAGTGCTAAAAGTACTCCCTTTAGAGTTTGTTTGCTAGGGGTGGACTGACCAGCTGACAAAATGGTCCCCTCTTTTATAGAGTTTGAATTCCTTTTTGTTGTTAGCTTGATTAGGAAATGCCATTATTCACAGCTGTCAGCCCACATTTGCCTTAGACTAAAATATTTTGATGGAGACTGATCAAAGCTAAAATACAGATAAGAATGTCACCATCCCCAATAACATTACAAATGTACTTTAAGTTTTCATATCCACTTAAAGTGTTATTCTTCAAACTCCTGGTTCATTTACATTTGATTTGAAAAAATTTCAACAAATTCCTACTTCAGGAAATTTCCATCATACCTCTCTATTAAAGCAATCTAATATATATAAGATCCTGTATAGAAGTATAAACTGAGATTTCATTATAATCAAAGAAAGAAAATATTACTTACATTTAAACGGAAAGTCACAGTGTAAATTCCAGAAAAGAGGAGGATGGTAGAAATATATGATTGGCACAGAAGAAAACCATTCCCAGAGTGAGATAAAAGTTTCTTTGCAAGTTCCGCTGCAAAGGAAAGGCACAAAGATTAAATTCATTCATTTTCTTTTTTGTAATATATATTATGAAATGGACAAAATCCGACAATTATTTTAAGACATTTTTATGTCTATACATTCTTTTTATAGATACAAATATTTAAGTAAATGTTCTGTTTTATAATAAACAGTATTAATAACATTTACCAGCTCGATTGGTTAAGGCACATCAGGCTATATGACGGTTCCGTATAGGATACAGGTTCGATTCCTGTCAGAGGACAAATATTTTCTATGAAAATTTCTCGAACATTCAGGCTGGTAAATGTTATTAATATTGTTTATTATAAAACAGAGCATTTACTTAAATATTTGTATATATAAAAAGAATGTATAAACATAAAAATGTCTTAAAATAATTGTCAGACTTTATCCATTTCATAATGTGACATCATTTGTTTACATTTGGATACACATTGAGCAGATATGAATGTACGTGAGAGATTCATGGAAGATTGAAGTTTAAAAGCAGTAAAATTGACCTTGGTAATCGAACAATCCTTTGTGGCTCAATCAGTTAAGGCACATCAGGCTATATGATGGCTCCATATAGGATACAGGTTCGATTCCTGTCAGAGGACAAATATTTTCTATGAAAATTTCTCGGACATTCAGCCCCTAAATATTATTAATACTGTTTATTATAAAACAGAGCATTTACTTAAATATTTGTATCTATAAAAAAGAATGTATAAACATAAAAAAGTCTTTATATATATATATATATATATATATATATATATAATACACGAATTACCTGTGCCTTGCTGTGTGTCACACATTTTTTCATAAGAAAAGGATGATTAATTTTAAATTCTTGTTATAATTTGTGAAAGAAAAATGATGCATTTCAATATTACTCAATGATCTTGCTGAAGTGACCTCCATCTTCTGGCTTTCTCTTTCTATATTTTGGATAGGAGCCATTTCCTTGATCAAATTTAAATTTAATTTATATCAAAAGGAAAAAAATTTTCAGTTAGTAGGTGCACCCAAGGACACCTTTAATCAAAATGAAATATGCTTATCCAAGTACCCTGGGTAATGTAGTTTCAGAGTATATATAGTTATAGGGATCTATTACCAAAACCCTAGGAATTCATTAACAAACACAGACAGCTGCTACAATTTTATATATATATATATATACAGTCGGGATAAGGAAAATTTCAAAAGAAGTTATTTGAACTTTTCCTTATCTTGACTGTTACAGTATTTTTAATATTGAATACATTTGTTACAAACATCTGCTTGCCTTTAAACACATTAAATTTCAGTAATTTACATGTTTTCATTAGATGTAATAACTCTGTCTATATATATATATATATATATATATATATATAGTCATCCACAGACAGACTGTTTTGCTGTATCACAGCTCATCAGTGTGGCTAGACATAAGATTGCTTCAAGCCAGGATCAAAACCTGATATATATATATATATATATATATATATATATATATATATATATATATAATTCTACTCACAGTTTCTTCCCCCAGAACTGTAACTTTGTGAAACAAACTCCCAAGAAGATGCTTTTATGACTGCTGCAATCTTGGTCTCTTTAAGTCCAGATTCAAGAGATATCTACCCTAGATGTCCTCATAATATGGATTTCTTACTTTCTCCTTCACCCTCCCTTACAAGAATCTCAATAACTTTCCAACTTGAGTGGCTCTTAGGCCTTGTACTGGGTAAACTAACGGTAAATAAAATCTATGTATATATTCAACGTGCTTCAGATCTCTTGGCCACAAAGTTTATATTTTAAAGGAAAAAAAAAACAAAACTGTTGGCAGAACCAATGGACAACTTGCCAAAAGACCTAGATACCCTTAAATAAGATAAAATCTCAAACAAGTAGATCAATAAGAAAAAAGAAAAAGACTTAAAGGCTAACATCTACCTAAGTGCTCAATGCCTAGATTACTTAGACACAGAAAAAATGTTTGACAATGTTAATTCCTATGAAAGGATGGCCCTAGTTATAACCAAAGTTTTACACACACACGATCTTCAGACAACTTGAACACTCAAATTGCCAGAAGATCATGTGAGTGTGAAACTCAAGTTATGACTAGGACCATCTTTCATATTTATATAATAATAGAAACACTATAATAATTTTATAAGTCTTTATATGCAATCTTGATTATATAGCTTGTTTGTAGTTTGTTTTGGAAACAATGAAATATTATAATTCACAAGTAAAATCTACACAGCATTGTATAATACACATGACAGATACTGATAACTGGACAGTATATCAGCCATATTATAAACTACTGCAAGAGAAACTAACAGATGTTTTAATGTTCTTGGGAATAATATATTTTAATCCTAATATTAAATGTTCTATAATTATATAATTATAACCTACCAGTATCAATTTCTTTTCGTTAATTATCCATTATGTTAACTTTTCTTATTTGCTACATGTGATTGAAGCTATAACAATTATATGTGTATGTTTTCATGTGCTTGTTTAGTATGGAACAAAATTTGAAGCTTATGCCTTTCAAGGCATAGTGATATCTAAGAACATTTTTTGGCAAGCAGGACTAGAACTATTTACTTGGCTTAATTTTTTTTATATTCAACTGTCATTTTCAGCCTCTTAACCAGTTTCATTTCAAAGGTTGACATCTATTGACCATAAAAATTGTTAGTGTTTCTTATTTTTTTATTTTATAATTCATTAAATATGCTGCCCAAAAGAAATCAATAAGCCAATAAACTACACGTTTTCCCTATTATAGAACTTTAGCTGGTCAATTCAATACAGATTTACACATACTATTTTGACATATAAGCTGTTTGTATAATGTTTAATTTAACTAAATAACATTTTTTTTATTTTTTTACTTCCTTATCTGTCTATATTTCTGAGATGAGGCATTATAATTATTTATATTATTTACATTGAAGAAGTCCAGAGCATACAATGGCCAAAATGTCATCAACAGATGAGGAGAACAGTTCAAACAATGTAAATAATGTAAATCATTACTTTGTATTTGATAAACATTCAGTGACCAAAGCATACAAGTGGAAAAATATAGATTGAACCTTTGAATAGAAAGATATAAATTAATTAAATTGCAATAGGCATATGAACGAGAAACTTAAGCAATTTTACAATGAACACAAATCAATTTGTTTTTTTGTTTTTTTTACAAGCAATTCATTCAATCAGACAAAAATAAACTCCCATTTGATTGCCTAACACTGACTTGATCTGTTAGCCTTGATTTGATCCATTAAGAACTCTATCAAATCAAAAGCAATTCCAACAGCTAACTGGATCAACTTATGTAAGCTGTTTTTATTGGCTTTTAATAGTCAAAATATTAAATGATTCAAATATTGATAAAATGTTCAAGCCTTACAAATGAGTAGTTTTACACATAATTCTAAACAAGAATTTTCTAAATTATTCATAATATTCTATGCATGTACAGTTGTAGATTATCAATACAAATTAAAGTGAAACTTCTATTTTAAGTAAGAAATTCATTCACACAGTGTCAAATGTGTAAAAAAAAAAACAAATGGAAACATCAACTGACCTGAAGTTAATATAACCAACACAAGATGACTTAACTGAAGAGAGATCATAATAACAGCACTCTGTAAAGAAATAGAGAGAAAAAAAAAGCAAAGTCATAATCAATGAGAAACAAAGAACATTACAAATACAGGAATTAGGACAGAAAAAATAAGATACAAAGCAAAGAGAAGAGAATAAAGTGAAAATGGAAAAATTTTTTGGAAAGAATGAGATTAACAAAGTCACGAACATGAATTTCATAACTCATTAGAGTTGTAGCTGCACCACATGTACTGGAGCAGCAGTAGGAGTGGTGTGTCTTGGGCAAGATAGCCTGACAAAGCCCAACCTGCTCTAGGCTGGTTAAAATTCAGAGTTTTCCTTCTTCTAGACCAGTTGTCACCCAAGGCTATAGAACCCAGTCTGTTCTGCTATTTATCCATAGCTGAGGGGAAGAGATGGATTCATACTTTTCACAGAGGTATTAGCACATAATTGAATGCAATGAATTTGACTGGAATTTGAACTCATCTCTCCAATTCATCAATCCATTACTCTACTGTACTTCCACTCACAAGGTACAGCTACCTATAATAACAATGGTTAACAAACTGCTTTTAGAGACCAAATTGCATGAGTCATGAGTTCAATCCTCACTAGATGCTCATATGTTGTAACTGTCAAAATTAGTAAATTTGGTTAATTTGGTTAGTTAAGTAGTTATACCAAAACCAGTGTACAGTGTTCAAATACTGAATTTTAAGAGCAAGTCCTTACCACTTGAAGACTAGCAGCATGCAATCTTTCTGCACCTATTTTTCTATCCATGGCCTCACACATAAAAAGTGGGATTGACATATTTGGATTTGTTTAGACACAAGTATAAATGGTATATAAAATAGACATTACAAATAAATATATATTTTTTTTACAATGATGTTCACTTTGTACACTCAAGCCACTCAAGGTAGAGGCTATATAGATTAAGGGGCATGGTTTATGCAGATATGTTGGGAACAACTGACCCTAGACTTGAACAGGTTAAGATTGTAGTAACTGAGGAAGCATCCTCTTGGGAGTCAGTTACACAAAGCAGTGGCATGTGTAAAGAAGCTACTTATGGAATATGAAAGTAATGAGAATGGTTTGCTACAATGAGCATGGCATGACAGGTCTTAGCCATGAAGCTTATAACTGGTAGAACGAAGGAATGTAATTCATCTGGACACTTTCCGTTGCTTTAGCAATAGAGCTGTGAAAGACTTAAGGTGGATTAAAAAGTTTCCGTAAGTTTTTTGATAAACCCTTTTATTTTGATAAATTCATAGCATAATCATTCAGTCATCAAAGTATTTCCCTGACTTTAAACCAACTTTCAATTCAAATGTGTATTCCATCATAAATAGAATGATTCTAGTTTAGATTCAATGTACTCATTAAGGGTTTTTTGGGGTTTTTTTTAACATTACCGACTTGTTGGAACAGCTGACTAAACCAAGACTATTTCATGAAGAAAAACAAGTTATAAACTATATGCATCAAGTCTGGAGAATACAATGTATACTGAAGAATTTCCTATTGCGCTTCATGATTATTTGCTGCGTCATATTTGCAATATGAGGACATACATTGTCATTCAACAACATCAGTAGTTCACTTCTTTGCCTAGAAAAAAAAAATTCTATGACTTAACCTATTCATTTCTCTGGAAGACTTTTTTTAGTTTCAAATCTACTTCTAGTTCCAGTTTCATTTCTAAAATTTTCCATAGTGTCCTTTGTCCTTGAAAAAAAAACTCAAAATTTATTTTTTAAAACATGCTTGCACCTATTGTGTCATTTTCATAAGCTTCAGTTATGTATTGACAAGATTCCACTACACTTTTTCTCAGTTTAAACATGTAGAGTAAATGTTGAATGTGAATTTTATATTCAGTCATGATTTTCAACAACATAAAATAAACTAGCACTGGCAATTTTTCCTTGGAGTCCTCATAAAAGCCACTCAACCCTTCAAAAAACTAAATGTGGATTTCAAAGGTCCCCTAGATTCGAAAACCAGAAACAGATACTTGCTTACTGTAATCGATGAATATTCATAATTCCCATTCACATATCCTTGCCCAGATACATCTGCAAACTCGTTCATAAAATGTCTGCACTCTTTATTCACTGTTTTTAGAGCCCCAGCATATATCCATTCAGACTGAAGAATATCATATATATTCTGTGTCGTTGAAGGATTTGGCCCTGTGAGAGTAAAGCCCCCAGAGAAATCAGACACAGGATCACTACCAGAACAAATGGGCCAACATGATTTTAGTTTTGACAAGGAATTAGCACCTAAAAAATGAGTCCACTCTGAAATGGACACCCCTATTTAAAACTGAGATGCAGAGTGGCTTACAAATCAAAGAATATGTAAAGTAGAAGGTTTATACCTCAAAGGCAAGAAAAATCCAGGACAACCAACTCAGATGAGTCAATGTCAGATGACCTGCCAGAGACCATGTCGGTGGACTGATTTTGTCCCCTACAAATAACCAGCAGGGAAGAATGTAGTATGTATTATCACTACTTATATGCATTCATTCAAATATCCATCCAAGGACTTTTCTGTCAGCTGATGACAGACAGCTAATTAATGTCGTGCAAAAGCCTCATTAGTCGGCTTCACAAACTGTAACAGTAAAACATTGATGGCTTCCTCATACATTATGCATTTTGAAATTGTGCTGTAAATCCTAGAGGAGACAAAATTTATTATGACGCTCAATTTGTCCATGTCACTGCTTGATATGAATAGAAGAAAATTTTTAAAAGGTTTTGAACCAATATTCCCATTCTAGTTTAGAATTTTCTGAAACCTCTTTGGTCTAAATAATTGTTCCATGATTTTTGAAAACATCTGCTATTCGTTCAAAGTTTCTTTGAATACTTATGTTGGATAAATTATAATGATAAATAGAAGACACAAATCTTGTTCTAAGGCTATATTCAACATAAAGTTGAAACACTAACAAATGGTGTCAGTAAACCAAAGTGAACATGCTAGGAAAGGCTGTTCATTAAATATCCAAATAAGGTGGTGTCTAGTCAAGACAGTTCATTAAAATAAAACAGTCGAACTTTAAGACAAATATATAAATGTTATTGCAGTGTTACTGACTCACAGGAAGTAGTATGTACTTAACTATCTATGGGTAATAGCCATAGCTATTTATAGTCTTTATGGCCTCCTATGCAAATGAGTGACCTCATCTCCCTGTCCCGGAGAGGTTTTTATTTTCCCTGGTACTTCTTCTGGGAGCTTTTGTCTCCTCTCTATCTTCCTACCTCTCCCTAAGAGATTATATATATGGGAGATTGTGATCTTTTTCTTTTTTCATAGGAGTATTCCTCCAACAATTATTCATTTATAGTGTTCTCAATCTCACTGTCTAGCTTGTCTTGCCTTGACATGATACTTTCACCTTCATTACTTTCAGGCTCACTAAACATTTCTTCATCATTATCGCGTCTCAATCTAATTTGGTCTGCATGCCCTAATATCCCATTTCCATTTTTTTTTTATTATCATAGTGTTCTGTCGACTTTGCATTATGAATCTTGCCTCTTATAGATTATATTCACTATTCTTTTTATACCACTGTTTTTTGTTGGTGGCATAACACATGTTCAATGGGGCTCTAATTTGTCTACCCATGAGGGCGTACAAGCTTTACAACCTTCCAGCATGTGGTATTGTCCTATAGCTTAGCAACAATCTAGAAAGAAATGTTTCTATTTTTTCTTTCCATTGTAGACATATTTTTTATAGTTTGCACCATCCTTTCTGCTAATCCGTTTCATTGCAGATGATACAATGGAGATGTTTATGGTTTGCATTCAATTTTGTTCAACCACTGGCATAGTTCCTTGTCACAGAACTCTGGAGCGTTGTCAGATACTATCGTTTTCAGAATTCCATTTCTTGAAAATATGATCCTTAACATTTGTTTCATGGTTGAACTTCTTTTGTTAGAAACCTTTATTACTTCTGCTAAGCCTGAATACGCATCTACCAGTATTAGTAATAATCCCATTACATTAAAATGGACATGATCCATGTGTACTTTGTCCCAAGGTTGGGACTCTTTAGGCCATCTGTGCGTTTTTGTCTGTCTAAATTTTCTTCTTTCAATGCACCTTTTTACATATTATTCTACATCTGTAGAATAGCCTGGCCACCATGCCTCTAGTCTTATTTTCCTTTTCATAGACGTTATTCTGCAATGAACATCATCATGTATGCTTTTTATAATTTTGCTCCTTTGCATTGCTGGTGGAACCACTATGTCTCCATTACAAATTACACTCTTTTCTACAGTTAAATTGTGTCTAACCTCTTTAAAGTACCTTTCTACCCATGAGTAATTATTCCACTTATTTTTTATCTTGAACAATATACTGTTCAGTAATGGGATCTTGCTTTGTATATGTTATGGTCCAGTTCCTTGTACCACGGTGATAGTCCAAGGTAGAACCAATAAAGAAGAACTCGAACACAGGTATGGAATAACACAGATATATTACAAACAGGAATATATACAGAGAAATAGAAGTGTTAGTATGAACAATCAGGTTTAGTAGAGAACAATGTAGTCTCAACCAGTATCACTATTTCAATGTCTTGCAGTAATTGTCTGAACGCGACTCTGTTTCGGACTGCCTCTGACTCGACTCTTGACTTGACTTGAACTACTGACTCCACTTGAACGACTGACTCCTTGCTTACTCCTGAGACGCAGTATTTATTAAGTATGGAATAGTCCATTATTATTATGGGTAAGATACCATAACAGTATACTCAGCTAATTTGTCTATTGACAAAATATCAAACACTGGGTTGAATTTGATATTTCTTCAAATTTTTCCTCCTCTTTCTCACTTTCAAAAGTAATGAGCCTTAATCTCAACAAAACATCTACATATGGAATGGTATTGCCTTTCACATACTCAATATCAAAGACAAACACCATTAACATTAAGGCCCATCTTAGAATTCTAAGAGGTTACCTTAAGAATTTCTTTCCAATCAAAATCTGACAAGCTCTATTTGTCATCCATGTTATGGCCAATGATTTTTTTCTCAATATTTGAATAGTTCACTTTGGCTTTTGACAATTTTCTTGAAAGATACATAATAGGATGACCATCCTGAGCTAATATCCCTGAATTTGAGTGTTCACTTGTAACATTTGTTACTACTAATTCCTTTCTAGGACCGAATATTTTTCCTACTGGCTTCTTTGCCAAAACTGCTTTTAAATTTTCAAATGCCACTCATTAATCTTTTTTCCAAATAAATTCCATATTCTTTTTTCTTAATGCAACAAAAGGTTCTGTCAATTTGGAATATTGCTCTGCATATCATCTGTAGATATTTACAAGTCCTCAAGATTCCAATTCTTTTTTGTTCTTAGGTATTTCAACTTTTAATATTTTGTCAATTTACAATTGGTCTGGTGATATACCTCCATTAGATATGGAATATCCCAAAAATGGTATTTTTTAGCATTATGCACACATTTTTTTTTTTTTGTTAATTGTTAATCCAGCATTTTTTAACTTATACTGGTTTTCCATTTTAGTTCTTCATTGTTAATAGCAGCAAATGTCATCCTGGTAGCATATTGTAATTTTATATCACTACCAATAACTTGCTCTATAGCCCTTTGAAAAAAAATGCACATGTGGTTTTAATTCCATACAGAATTCTTTTCCATCTTAATAAACTTGGTGTGTTTATTGTTGTGACTTCTTTAAAGTCTTCATCAATAGGTAATTGATGGTATGCCAACTTTAGATCAATTTTAGAGAATGTTTTCATGCCCACAAGGGAGCTCAAAGTTCATTCTATATTGGGGATAGGATATGAGTTTTGTGATTTGCACCTGTTTTGTAGTCATTACAAATACCCCCATCTGTCTTTCATAAAATTACTAACAGGGAGGCCCATTTGCTCCCTCTTGGTGGAACTCGTTCAAGTAGATCTTGTTCCAGTAATTCTTTTTAGTTTTTCCACAACTATTGGTAGTAGAGGAACTGGCACTTTTCGTGCTTGAAAATATGAGTGGGGGGGAGCCATTTTCCTTTAGCCTTAACTTTGCTCCATAGTTTTTTAACATTCAAGTTTCTTCTGCCTTAGCATTGTTTACCAATTTTGTTGAATTTATGTTCAATACATCATTTCCTATTAGGCCATGATTCTTTTCACAGTTTGCCACAATAATTGGTAATATGTCAAACGTATTTTTAGGTCCATGTAGGCTTCAAAATAGCCTAACATTTTTTTTATCACAGATTGATTTTCTTCAATGTTGGTTTTCCTAATTTCTTTCAGAAATTTCTGGGTATCAATGTCACATCACTTCCTGTATCTAGTTGTATGTTCAATAAAACATTATTGATTCAAATTTTTAATAACCCTTTCTCATTTCTTTTTTCAATGAAAATACATCTATACTTATTTCCTCTGCATTTTGTTGGACAGTCTCTATATTTCTCTTTTTGGCTTTATACATATGTTTAAAATGATTCATTTTGAAACACTTTACACATCTTTTTTTTATATACTGATCATTTTTGTTTTTCTCTTTGATGTTGATAAACACAAAAAGTACACATTTTTCTGTCATTTCTCTTTATTGCGTATGTGTCCATTTCCTCTACCAGGTCCATAACTTTTGTTATATTAAACTTTTGAATCAATTCTTGTTGCTGAACAAATTCGACACACAGTTGCAAATGCATTAGAGTCATTTGCTGATATCCCTTTGATTTCATTTAGATCAAATCCTCTTCAACTGATTGGGTTTTCCATTCCCAGTTTCATAAATACACAATATTTACTGGCCTGTTTTAAGCAAAGAATATATTCAATAACGGGTTCATTCACTTTTTAAGTATTGTTCATGAACTTAGCTCTCTCTGCACTCACTAGTTTTTTCTTGGGTGCTATATTTCTCACTATTAGTTGACTTAGATCCTTAAACATTATTTCCTGCAACTGCCTTGGGAGTGAAATTGCTGATAATTTTATAATGGCTCACAACCAGCAGTTTCCAAGAAGAGATCAGTTATCTAGTTTTCTCCCTCAACTGATCTCAAATCCTTTGGCTTCTTTTGTTCTCGCTTTAGCTGCTAGGATCATATGCCACACTTTTGCATACTCTTAATTATCCAATGATAACTGTTCACTTGGTTCTTTAGATATCAGCAATGCCATTGTAGTGTATTGTTACTGACTCACAGAAAGTAGTATGTACTTAAGTGCCCATGGGTAATAGCCATAGCTATTTATAGTTTTTGTGACTTCCTATGTAAATGAGTCACCTCAGTTATACAACTTAGAATACGCTTATAATATATACTGTAGTGATATGTAAATGACTGCTTAATTAGCATAGCTAAGGCATAGGGATTATATAAGTGCCCAAGTAATAACGAGAGGGGTAGAATATGATGAGTAATTAACAACTACTGATGAACTAAGAAAATATGAAGGAAAACGTATTTTATAACATACACATTAGTATTATTAATTATGAAGAAATTACAATATTAGCCAACTGATAGTTTTAAAAATGTTAAAATATTAAACTGTATCTATTGTTTAAGCTAAAGGTTTAAACTGTACAGCAAGGATTTTGAAATTTAGTGTGCGAGTAGCTGTCCAAAAATATCTATGCAAAATATGCATCTTATCATTCTCTAAGTGCATCATTATTTTGCAAATTTCCTAGCAAGACAGAAAAGTTGAACTTGCCAATGATATTATTGCCGTCAGTCATGTGATATTTTTTTATCCAATGAAAAATGTTATTGCTTTTATCTAATGAAAAAATGTTATTGCTGAAACCCTAACAAGGAACAAAAAGTAGTCAAAATGTCAGAAATTTATGCCCTTGAAGAAACTTATAACACAGTCATTATTTATCATAAAAGAACAAAAATAACCCAACAAAAAGTCTATAGAAATTATCAAATAAGAGTAAGTAAAAGAAACAATGTTTATGACCATTTCTTCTTTGGAAGCTATGAAAGCTACAGACAAAAGAAAATAAACTCACCAATATTATTGTTCGGTTTTTGTTCTGTCCAGGAAATATGTCTATCAATGTGAGAATTATCAAATTCAATGTCTGCAATTAGAAAAAACAACTTAATACGTGTTTTCAAAAAAAAAGGGAAACTATTTGTGTTTATGGAACCCAATTCAACTACCATTTTTTTCCTCCTTTTTAAATGGCAGATTTTGTCAAGACATAGGTGTTCATAGGTCTCTACATCTTCCTTTCTTCTGGAATTACCATAACTTCTTAGGAAAGATGGTGGGGTGGCTTCCTGTTGCCTTCTCTATGGTTTTGAATTCAGTTATTCTTTTTTAGACTGGCTGCTATCTAAAGTTAGACAGCCCAGTCTATACTACTATTTAACCCATAGATGGGAGGAGAAATAAATTCATACCTTTACCACAGACATTAGTGAAAAGTGAATACAACAGAATTGGTCAAAATTTGAAATTGGCTCAATAATGCCACTGTCCATGTTGAAAAACATAGTGCTATTTATATATCTCTGAAACAATACCACAATGTCAAATCCGAGAATAGTTTAAAATCTGCTTACTGATTTTATCTGATTAATTTATCTTTACACTGATACCTTGAGTCAAAGCATGAATCCTGAATTTCCTTACTATATATTCCTCCACTATATTTTCACTCTATTCCACAAATAAATGTGAAAGAATATGAGGGTGATCTCATGCAAATTTCATTTGTATAAGCATCAACGTTTAAAAGGTTTTAAAGCTTTGCTTATTTTGAAGATGATTGTGATTAATTTCTGTTAGATTATTATTTTTAAATAGTGATTCTTGAATGTATTCTTGAATAAGTAAACATACAATGGTGGACTCTCCTGTCATATTCAACATATGAGGGTCAAGCAGCTCAGTTCCTAGGAAGTGACAGCCCAGACACCAGTGCACATGATTTGATTATAGTAGTGATGGCTTTGTGCAGAACCAACCACACTTTTTGAAGGGCTGAATACAGAGATCTGGTGCACTACATGCCACAAGGTCCCCAAATGACCCTTCACAGGTTTTGAATTCAGAGTTGTCCTTTTCCTACACCAATTGCCATCCAAGGCTATAGAACCCAGTCTGTCCTGCTATTTACCCATAGCTAGAGGGAGAAGAAGAGGATTAATACCTTTCCAAAAGGTATTAGCATGCAAGTGAATGTAATGGATTCAACTGGAATTTGAACTCAGCTCTTTGATTCCTCAATCTGAGCCGCTGTCCACTACTCCACCATGCCTCTTAAACATACAATAAGGACTAGAATACAAGTAAACTAAGAAATTTATTATTCAGAAAAATTCCTTCATCAAAAATTATGTTATTTAAATGACACATTTTTTTAGGGAACAAGTCCTCCATCAAACATGAGTCATTTAAATAACAATTTTTTTTTTGTCAATTTTTCTGAATAATATATTTCTTATTTTATTTATATTCCAGTCCTCATTGTATGTTTCCAAGTGAAAAAAAAAGTAGTAAAATTTAAACACAGTGATTTAAAAAAGCAATGGACTTAATATATCTGGTTGGAAGCAAGATCTTTTGTGGTTTCTAAATAAATTTTATTATTTATAAACCACAAGAACTTTCCTTGCAACCAGACAAAAAAGACAAAAAAAAAGAGAAAATGTTGATTTGAGAAATTTTTCTTTCATTTTTGCTAAACTTACAAATACATTTTTATTTTTTAACGGAGAACAAGTCTATCTAGGCATGGAAGAGCAACACATGTTGATATTTGTGACAAACCCAAATATGGTTTAATACATCAAGCAATAAAGTAAATATACACACTAACAGATTAACCCATTAATGATGATCATCTCATTTTAGGGACAGTGGGCATTAATGGATTATAGATAGAAACCTATAAATAATACCAGTTTATTATAACCTTATACTTAATACCAGATTTTATTAGAAACCTACTAGTGGAGTTTAAAAAAAAAATACTTGTAATATTTATTTTTTTTGCATAGATATCTTTAAATCTGATCTAAAATGATTGAGTGAAACATAATTGATAAATTATATAGCTTCAGTTTTAATTCTAACTGTTCATAGACTTACTATTAATAAAATGTAACATATCTGTATTTTTGAGCACTTCTTGAGTAAACTAAGTAAATGCTTGTGTTATAAGGTATAAACTAGTAATTAACCCATTATAGTCCACCATAAAATCCATTAGTAGTTAATTTTACCATTGCCACAGTATATGACATGTGACAATCGTATACTATGGCAATGGTCAAATTAACTGTTTCCATACAGGAAACATTTGGCATTCATTGACCAAACTGACAGTTAAAATTTATAAAAAATGATCTTAAAACAGTAAAATAGGTTTCTCAAGTTCACTGTTATCACTCTTTCGAGTAATAAAGGGAGTTTCCTTGTTAACTTTTTATTTAAGCTTGTGTGTAAAGTCAACACCTTGATTATGAGTTCAATTAAATACTCAAGTTTGTTAATTCTGGTTTATCTTTATAGTCAGATTGGTCTAATTGGTTTTAATTCTAAGACAAAAATGCAGATTTTCAAGACAGCTGCAGTGTCTTGGGAGGGTGACACAACAATTTTCCTACCTCCCTATTTCTCTCAATTTTAGTTTTGTGTTATACTAAGTTAAACAAGTATATATTTTTAAATATTAAAAATTGATTTTTACTGATTTTATTTTACTTTTCATGCTGTCAAATGTTTTTAAATAATCAACTGAAAATAGAGAAATAATTAAATAACTCATTCAACAGGTTTGATACTCACTTGTAATATAAGGGAGAATATACAGATGTTTTTTGTAATGAATTTAGGAATGTTGAATCTCCAACGATGACACTGCAGACAGGCTAAGAACCCTAGAAGCCCACATGAGTCCTGAAAAAAAAAAATTAAAAAGATGATAATAAAACTATTTCTAAAAGAAACAAAACTTTCATAATACCCTTTTTGTGTACTCCATTTTAGCTATAGAAGGGAGTTGAACAAAGATCAAATAAGTACCGGCTAAATTACTCCTCATTTTACTCATTGAAAACTGAACTCCCTATCTTTTACTTTTTTATGTGCCACCCCTTCAGGATGTAGACAATCATGGATCTCCACAACTCCCTGTCCTTTGTAGTTCTTAATAAACTTTTTGTTATTTCTCCTAAACTCTGTTCTCCTATCCATTTACTCAAGCACACTATGTTATGCACCGTTTTCCTCTATCCCTCTTGTTCTCTATCTGTCCTGTGAGTATCAGATTTTCCAAGTTCTCCTTCCTGATTATCTACATTACTTTAAAATTTTATGGCATCAAGAGTAGTACAGATGACTCCAAGCATACATGCACAAGTACATGTAGCAAATATTTCAACATTTGAGAACATGGGGAATAAAATTCATAATAATTCTGCTTGTTTCTCTGTCATGCCCTGTCTTCAGATAGATAATGGACCATAACATTTTGAGTGCGAGGAAAAGACAAAAGTAAAAGATATATGGGATACTAGCAGCATGGCCTGGCGTTGCCCGTGCTTGATTCAAAAATAGTACAACTAATACAGCAATCGCTATCACTTGACTTAAAATATTTTTGCCCTTCCTTGCCTTTAGAGGAGGGCCCTTTGCCGTGCTGATGTTGTTACATGCTTACTTCTTGCCTATCTCACACTGCCAACTTTTTCTAAGCTCTATAGTAAAACATTAAATCTGTTACGAAAAAGAACTAAACAAAATAAACACAATACGATCAGCTTTAAAAAAACGGAAAAAACATTTTTAAGGGTTGACCGATTGTCGATTTGCACTCTGTTTGGGGGGTGCTCAGAGTTGAAACTTCACATGATGACTCCCAATGGCCTATTCATAAATCCGCTCGGTTTTCGCTAAAAACCGACATGCGGTTCAGACGCAATCTGGGTGTATCGGTTTTTGGGTTTTATCGATTTTCCGTGCTGTTTAGGGGTCCATGGTCATGAAACTTCTGGACAACACTTCTAATGATAGACTCTAAGAGGGTGTCAAATTTGGTTGAAATGCGATCATTCCTTCTGTAAGCAGAATTTTTTTGATTATCGATGTTCTCGATTATCGATTTTTTTCGGAACCTGATTCCAAACTCAAAAATCGGGCTCTGTCATGTCCTTATGGCAGCCATTTGCAAACTTGTGTTGAAAACCGCATCGAAATCGGGTGAGAAATGCGGTCTGGGCGAGGTAACAACGCCCACGACACACACACAGACAGACAACATGAGAAATATAGATAGTAGATTATTTGGTTCTATTGAGAAAAAAGAAAGAAAGAAAGAAGCAATAATGCTCTCATACATTTAATGTCTACATCAGTGAAATGGAAAAACTGGTCAATTTTAAATCTTTTTATTTGTACCTTCTTATTTTTTAAATAATAACCTGCATTCATACTTATGCAATATTTTGTTAAAGTTAATTAATGATGAAATTAGGATTACGTTACCCAATTTATTTTGCACATACACACTGCTTTAGTGATGCCACTGCAAATTGTTACATATTTAGAAGCAATAATAGTTGTCAATGTTGGCTGATTAGTAAGAGGCTGTCAGCAATTAAATGAAGATATACTTCCTGGTAACTGACTTAAAGCAGGCTTAATACTCTTATCAGGTCCTTTAAACATAGTATCAACCACCGTTTTCTAGAAATGAATTATAAGTATATTTGGACAAGGTAGGACAGCTTTATACCAGATGGTCTGACTTTCAAGCAGTCTGTTTCTCATTTGGTACCAGGCATTATTTTGTCCTTTTAAGATCTGACTTACAAAAATGGCTTTTATAAATTATCTCAGATATATTGAACTGAAAACTAAAGTTACATATTTTTGTTATATATAATTGCTGTTGTCACTACAGCTGATAAGACACAGTGTATGGATCACACTGTCAACACATACATATATTTTTCATCTCAGGATTATCAACAGCTTCTTCATTCCTACTGACTTTCAAGACACACTATATTTTTTTTCTTTTTTTTAATCAATTCACTCCAATCAAGGCAATAATGTCACTAAGACACAAGAGACTACTGGGAGTGAAAGAAAATGAAAAGACTTTAGAAGGAACTGGGAACCCAATCCTAAACAAGAAACAAAGGATAAACCTTTGTTCCTGCTCAAGAGACCGGAGGTGGGGGGAGTGTGAACCAGACAATCACAATGATTATAGTAATTGAACTAAATTATTCTGTTCAACTCATCAACCTGAGATCTTGCCTGTTAGATTATGTCTACTTGAATTATATAAAGTTAAAGGGAGTTATGTCCCTTTGTTACATCTCTAAAGGTTAGTCTTAAAAATCAAAATTTATTTTTTTAGATAGAGCTAGTTCAACAAATGATTACTAGGCAATATTTATCACACAAAATGCAAGTCCTATCACAATTTTTACATTAGATTTCAATATATTACTACCTTTGTGCCTAATTGTTAGATTTGCATATGTACATGTTGAAACTATTATGAGATAGAGATAGTAATTTGCTATTATGTTAATTTTTCTTCATTTTACTTTCAGCTAGTTATTTATTTTTTTTTTTGCAGCAGCATTCATATGTGAATCTATGGGAGAATATGATGTATAATATCCATATATCAGACTAATAGTGGGTAATTTGAATCTGTTTTCTATTACAGATATTTGCTAAACTTAGTCCAGTACAGAGGCAAAGAAGTCAGGTACCTAGTAAAAATAACTTCAGTATAGTAGTAATGATCCACAAACTAGTTTGCTAATACTGCTCTACAGCAGGTATCTAAATATTTTCTAAACTTAGCTTTATCTGCCACATAATCCACAAATAAAGCATCAAACTCATTACACTAGCAATGGTTTACAAAAGTAACTCATTGTGAAGTCAAAGTAACTTGAGCATTGATTCTTTTTAAGGTAATATTATTTGCTCTACTGCCATTTTCAGGGGCTTCTCTCATAATAAGAGACAGACTTCAATGATCTAAAAATTGAATTAACTCAGCAAATGCACTTGCATTCATTTCACAGTATTCTTTGCCATGGGGACAATCATATTGTGGTAAGATCATTTTGTGTAATTTTTGGATTCCTATGTATCCCTAAAATTTCACTTTACAGAATATATACAGGGTGTCCATAAAGTTCATGTGCACTTTAAAAAATTAATAACTTTATTTGTATTTGCGATAGAAATAATTTGTAAAAAGGATTAGAAAGAAGTAAATCTATATTTTTTAAGGTTTTATTGAAATTTTATTTAAGTTTCCACATGTCCCCCATCATTAGCAATACAAAGGGTAATACGATTTTGCAGTTCACGGAAAACATTTGCCAACTGATTTACAGTAATGCCTGCAATCACATTAGTCATTTTAGCTATACTTAAAACTAGGTACATTAAACTTTATAACATTTTTTACAGATTATTTCTATCGCAAATACAAATAAAGTTATACATTTTTTAAATTGCACACGAACTTTATGGACACCCTGTATTTGGATTTTCTTGCTATTGAAAGAGTTTATTTTTGGGCTCATAACTTTTGGATGTCAGCAGAGGTCTATAGATCAAACTACACTCTGCTAGCATCCACATTCATCAACCATCAGTCTACAATAGATAACTATAGCCCTCTGCCAAACTAAACTTTTTAATAAATCTCTATAATAGAAAAACAGTTAAAATTTTAAAGCAATAAGTTTGTCCAAAATTGCACAAAAGATTCACACATTGAATTGTTCAATTAGAATAATTATTCTCATGATCCAACAGGATTTCTTTTAACACAATGTTATTTCTATGGTACATCAATTGTATAATCCGTAAGCCAACAAGAGAGAAAATTGTTTACACAGTTATTTCAGAAATGTCTCCATTAACTCACATCAACTTCTTCATTACAGGGAAGAATACTATCTCTGATGATGCTCTCTGCTTCCTCCAATCGATGCAATATTAACCGCGCCTGATTCACGGCTTCTGAATATTGTGCAGGTCTGTAAGTAAAAAGAATGAAGACAGATTTGATGAATATTTAACACATCTGAATAATTTTTGGTTTATAGTAAAACTTCAAGTATCCCGAATGTCCTACAATTAATTTTGTTCAAAAAAGCAACAAAAAATATACTTATTGAAAAGTTATGATTGCTGTTATAGAACCCGTGTTTATTTCTTAGGTTTCATTCAACAAAGAACATGACAATAATCTATGTAGCCTTTCAGCATTAAACAAAGTCTAATGATTTATACTGAAACCATTTGAAGAACTTTTCATCATATCTTTCATTGAAGAAAGTAGCAAAGTTTATATGTAAACAGTTTGTGTCAGCCATAATGTTCATAATTTCACACTGAATGAGCAAAAGGATGCATAATAGATGATAAATAAAATTACTACAATTACAATTAGTCAACAAGAATTTAGAATACTACATCATATAAACAGTAAAAAATGACTATAAATACATATTAAATAAGGATTAAAATTCAAAAACAATCCAACATCAATAAAATGTTCTCAGTCAACTTTGATCTTCAAAAATTTAAATTCAATGTCAACTATTTATCTTCTATCTCCTTAATATATTTTTCTCATATTCTCTTACACTCAGTAATCCTTTGTGTCTAAGTGGCTTTATTGCCTTGCTTGGCTGAAATGATAAAAACGAAAAAGATGTATCATTAGGTCATAAATATTATTTTTAGTGGGTACAGGTTGGAGTTGCTATCCCTGTTTTTTATTTTCTTAAACAGAAATAACAACCATCCTAGATCAATAGGTTTTACTAAAGAAAAAAATGTGCCACCCAACAGGAATTGAATCTGTGTCCCTTTTTTCATTAGAGAAATCACTTCTATAGACGAAATTTTCATGTAGTGTAGCAGTTATCAGCAGAGAAAGTGGACTCAGAGTGTCAAGTTCAAATTCTGTCCAAGTCTGTTGCATTCATTCTTGCACATATACTTTTGGGAAAGGTATGAATGCATCTCTTTTAGCTATGGGTTAAATAGTAGGGTAAATTGGGTCCTCTAGCCTTGGTTGACAGCAAGTCTAAGAGAAAGATAACTCTGAATTCACCTCATTAAAAAAAACCAAAAAAAAACCTACTTGCTACAGAAATCACAGCACCAACACCTAAAATGGTGAGGTTGTGGCTCTATATCCCACAGAGGAGTTTAAATGCACTAAGGAGGAGGAGGAAGTATCTATTATTTAGAACAGTTAAATATTGGTAACTGAGCTCTCATAGCCCAATGAGAGTGAAACTGGCTTGTAATATTCAATATTTTCAAAACCAAGCTAGTAACATTTCATCTTCACCAAGCAGACCCTGAATTTTCTCGTCATGATGAACAGTTGTACTCAAAAAAGAGGTTCCCCTCCTTCAAAGTCTATTAGGACCTAAGCTCACTCCAGACCACAAGTGGAACTCATATATACAATCCATTGCTAAGGACATCAATTCTCAACTTGGTATTGATACTGGTGATACAAATATTTACTCTTATCTTGATGGCAGCTGATGTAAAAAAAAAAAAAAAAAAAAATGACCTAGTCTGTTGTTAACTGGGGCAAAGAATGGTTTGTTAATTTTGATGCCTCCAAAACTAAACTGTTCTCTATTAATCATCTGAGAGACCCCTTTCTGCCTTCCATCAGCATGGCTGATGCTAACCTCCAGGAGAGTGACTTGTTGCACCTTTTTGGGCTAACATTCTTGGCTGACATGAAGTGAAAAGACTATATTGAATCCATTGCTAGGTCTGCTGCTGAGAAAGTCGGCTCGCTGAGTCATGCTAGACAATTCTCCAGAATCTATCTTACATATAGATACCAATCGTCCATGCTTAGAATATTGTTGCCACATGTGGTCCAGTGCTCCTGCTATATATTTAGAGATTCTTGATAAATTTAAATGCAGAATCAGCAATATTATTGGTCCTGACCTGGCATCTTGGCTTAATTCGCTTTCCCACCACTGTAAAGTTGCTTCCTTGTACCGTTTCTATAATTTCATGGTAATTATTCAGATGAGCTCTTCACTATGGTACCGAGACTTTATGAATGTAAGTGCAGTACTAGGTTAGTAACTAGGTCTCATCAATTTACAGTTGAATTGGTTAGATGTAACTATAAGTTCTGTGCTAACAGTTTCTTTTATCACACTTCTTGTTTGTGGAACTCTCTTCCAGCTCCATGCTTTCCAGTCAACTTTTATCTTCAAAAATTTAAATGCAATGTCAATCATTATCTACCGTCTTCCTGATTACTCTTCTGTAATTCTCATACCTTAGTAATGTTTTTGCTTTCTAGTCTTTTACACCCAATAACCCCTTGTACTGATTCAGAAAGTACCAACTCCTGCCAAACTATCTTTACAAGAGTCAGATCAGACCAAAAATGGAGCATTGCTATCATATCTGGGCTGGAGCTATCCAATCATAACTTTCCAACCTTGACAGAATTAAAAAGCAATTACCTGACCTTGTGGGTGATGAATTATTTTCCGCACAGCAACCTCTTTGCCACAGACAAAGCACTGCTAGCCTCTCTAGTCTATTGCTGTTTTCATGACATGTTCAGACAAACTACACTCCTTCATTCCACACCTTCATACCTAGGATCCACTATGCAACATACACAGGATCAACTCATCTTCATCATATTGCATTGGTAAGGAGGAAGTTCCAATCAGATGGCTTCTTCCTCGAAAATGATATTTCGTGAAACAAACTCCCAAAAGGATGCTTCCCTGATCATTATGATTTTAACATCTTCAAGTTTAAGGTTAACTGTTATCTATCCTTCATATCCTCATAATATGCACTTCTTACTTCCTCCTTTTATGCCGTTACAATAACCTTATTCATTAACCCTCTACCTTGAGTGGCTCTTTGGGCCTTGTATTGAGTGAAAAAATGTCCCAAAATTTCTAGATATCATTAAAATGTTTTATTAATGAACATTTGAGAACAATATTTTTCCTTAGCAGTCATTCATATATATATATATATATATATATATATATATTCCTCCAAAAATTTTCTAAAAAAGAGCATGAAAAAGATGAAAAAAGGCCCCAAATTCAGTAAAAATAAAGTTTTATCAAAATGTTTGTTACTATTAAGAGGAAAAACCAAAGTATTTTTTTATTATTTTACTTGATTTATTTAATGCTTTCTAGCACATTCGATATTTTGGTTAAAAATCTTGTTTTTCTTAGTCAGCAGCTAAGCTAACATTACTATGGGAAATTTAGTGTTTTTTTTTTTGTTTTGGAAATTCTTGCAAAAATAAAATAATTGCCAGATTCTAATCAAATTTTCAGGACTTATTCAAATGAATGAAATTATTTTGAAATTTTTTAGAAAATTTGGTAAAATATTTTTATATATATATATATATATAATATATATATATATATATATATATATATATATATATGTTACCCCCACTTTTTTAATTTTATGAAATTTCGAAAAAATTAAAATTTCAATGTCTTTATATTAGTTAAAAGCAGGACTCCTTGAACAATTTAAATCATCAATTTTTATTTTGTAAAACACCACCATCAGCTACTGAAAATCTGCTCTGTATCATAAAATAAAAAATGCAATAAAACTATGACATTATTTAATTAGAAAAGCTTTTAATTGCTTTTATAAATAAAACATATTAAGGACACTATCATTGCAAGAAAAAAAAAATGTTTTTGATGAATAATGAAGTTTTACAAGAATTGTTTGCATTTTATTTAATTTTAATTAGAAAAATTAAGTTTTAGATCTTAAAATTCTGTATTAATTTAAGCCTTTTAGATGATATAAAGTGAAAACTATATTTACTAATCATAAATAGTAAAGCTAAATACAAATTATCAAATACCAATATTTTTAAAAGAATTTTGAATTCTTTTTGTTTATAAATGTTCTCATTTTTGTAAGTACAAGTGATAATCGGAAAATAACAACAGTGACTATAGTAAATTTAAAATCAACATTTCTAAAATTTAACAAACAGTAGATCACAGAAAAGATTTTCCTAAATTTTTAAGATTACTGAGTATTTAAAAATTTTATAAAAAGGTGCTCATGTCATTTTCTTCAATTATGTTTTACAGATCAAATCTCCATAGAACAACATTAAACATCAAAACAACTACAAAGCTATTTCTGTGATATTTTAAACTTAAAGTAAATAATGTTTGTTTCAAATCAGATTGATTATACTTTAAATCAGCTAATATTCCTCAAATAAAATTTCAGAAAAATAATCAGCTATTTTGGGGGAAAAAAAACTCCTTCCAGTCAATTTAAATTAGTTTTTGAAATACAGCAAAATATTTTGCTTATTGGAAATATTAAATTTAATCTATTGAAATTAAAATTAAAATAAAAGCTTCAAGATTTTTCATTTTTAAAACCTTAGGTATCTTTTTTCTGTTTTTTGTGGAGGTACCTATAAATATGTGTATAAGATTTTAGAAGGAACCAGAAACCCAATCCCTTGTTTCCAATTTAGGATTGAGTTTCCAGTTCCTTAAAGTCTTCTCATTCTCTTTCACACTCAGTAACCTCTTGCATCTTAGTGGCATTATCGCCTTGCATGGAGTGAAATGATTAAAAGAAAAGAAAAGTTAATGTGTCCCTTGGCTTTACAATGCAAGCAGGTGATTACTGATATTCTTATAATTTTCCTTCACTACAACTACTGTGAATTTACACACACACACACACACACGCTAATTATGTGCACCTTTCAACCTTACGTATTTGCATCCTATTTATAAATGGGATACTTACCATTTCAGAAATATTTCACTTCACAGTAACTATCTGACTGGTAAAGAAGACAGGGGGTTAGTCATAACCCAATAGCAATTTAGAGGATCATTATCAATTTAAAAAAAAAAAAGAAAAAAACTTTTTGACCTTTGACCTTTAACATCTGTATATGTGTGACCTTGAACTTCTCTAAATCCCCACCACCAACCTGAACATTAGTAGTTCAGAATAGTTTTTCTGAGTTCGCATTTAAAAACCAACCTTGACTGAAGACTGCATTTTTTTTGATCACTCATTTGCAGTAAGCACTTCTTATTTTATCTCAAAGTAATGAGTCTTAGAATTTGAATTGGTAGACTCTAATAGTCTAGCCATTAGGTTATGTTGATCATTATGCTACGGGAATAGAGAAGATTTTAAAAGAACAAAGAAAAGGCAAGCAAAATATATTTTAAGCAGATTTTAAATACTTCACATATTATTTAAATATATATATACTGAAATATATATACTGAAATATATTATAGTGGGCATAATAAAATAGAACTTCTAAAAT